TTCTCTCCCCTTCCTCTCCCTCTCTTCTCCCTTGTCTCTCCGCTTTCCAGCAAGGGTGTGTTTGGCAGGGTAGCGGAGGACATCCGGGTCTCAGGCAACGGGGACTGGAACGTGCGGCCGGAGCTGAAGCACACGTGGAAGGCCAGCCGCTTCTGCCCGCCCTCAAGGGGCCTCGGATCTCAAGCCCTTCCATGTCCACGCATCATTCATTCTCCTCTCCCCTTTCTCTCCCCCTTATCTCCCTTTCTCCCCTCTCTCCCCTCTCTCCCCTCTCTCTCCACTTTCCAGCAAGGGTGTGTTTGGCAAAGCAGCGGAGGATATCCGCGTGTCGGGCAACGGGGACTGGAACGTGCGGCCAGGAGCTGAAGCACACGTGGAAGGCCAGCCGCTTCTGCCCACCGCTCAACGGGTACAACCGCGACAAGTTCTGCCGCGCCGTGGGGCAGAGGAACGTGGTGTTTGTGGGCGACCAGTCGCAGCTGGCACTGCATGACGTGTTCATCAACCACGTGCTGACGATGAAGACTTCTAAGGAGATCGGCACGGCTGCTGATGCTTGGTGAGTCTTCTCTCCTCTCCTTTCGGGCAGCGCAATGGGTGTCGGTCGGTTCAGTGGGTAGGGCAGAGGAACGTGGTGTTTGTGGGCGACCAGTCACAGCTGCCACTGCACTACATGTTCATCAGCCACGTGCTGATGATGAAGTCTGCGAAAGAGATAGGCACTTCTGCTGAAGCATGGTCAGGTCAGTTGTTTTGGTTGTTCGGTCTGTCCGACACCTGTTTCAACCCGCAGAGGGCTTCACTGCAACCGGTCTCTCTCCTGACTCAACTGCCACTGAGCCTTTCCAAACCCCTTTGTCATTCCGTTCTTGCAGGGAGGAGAACGAGATCCCTCTGTGCCACCGCAAGCCGCACGTGGTGTGCTCGGACCATGTGCCGGGGGGCTTCACCTTCCGCGTGGTGCACAACAACCTGCTCTCGCCTGACTCGGCTGGCGGCGGCAAGTTCAACCAGCGCTGGCTGCGGCACCTGCGGGAGTGGAACGCGTCCATCGTGGTGCTCAACAAGGGCTTTGAGAAGAGACCAAGTGAGCCACTCAAGCGTTTTAAAAACAGGTGACAAGTGAGGTTCTGGCTGCAGCACCTGCGGGAGTGGAATGCGTCCATTGTGGTGCTCAACAAGGGCTTCGAGGAAGAGACCAAGTGAGTGGTCTGTGAGAAACAGTGCCTCGAAACAATGTGGTGCACAACAACCTGCTCTCGCCTGACTCTGCTAGTTGCGACACCTCCGGGAGTGGAACACGTTCATTGTCGCCCTCAACAAGGGCGTCGAGAAGACAACAAGAGCTTCCCTTCTTCTCTTTTGGGACAGGTGCCTCAAGAGTTTCTCTCAAGGGCTGTGAAACGAGCTCCTCCGGGTCCTGGTCGTCTGATTGGACAAAGACTGCATATCTCTCATGTCTTGTCGGATGGTCCGATTGAGCGGTTCTTCCCACCGTGTTCTGCTGACCCCTCTTGCCACGCGCACTGTTCTCTCACTGTCTGCACACTTCTTGCCATATTTGTTTCCTTCTTGTGTCTTTTGTTTCGCTTCTGTCGTCCAGCTGCCAAGTACCTCTCCACGTTGCGAGCCTCCTTGGCGAAGCTGCGAGAGGTGGCGCCGGACGTGCTGCTGGTGTGGCGCAACACGTGGCGCGGCCACCCGGATTGCGGCAACGCCATGGAGCCCTTGAAGACTGTGCCGCACAACGAGACCAAGGAGAGCCAGTGGAGCTATGTGGTGGAGCAAAACGAAGGGGCAAAGGCCATTGTGAAGGTGAGTAAGTTGCGCGGAGGAGTTTTTAACATGAGGGCTGGGGCACAGCGTTATGCTGTTGTACATGCCATTGCCCTTGTTGCCCTAATCGATATACGGTACCTGCATTAAGTTCTACTGCACCTTTCGTCCTACTTGATTTTGCTTTTGGCAGGAGTTCGGTGGGATCTACATTGATTTAGACTGGTCGCTCTCCATGCGGCCAGACGGGCACATCAGGAAGCTAGACGGCTCCATGGATTGCTACTACTACTGCTTGCCTGGGCCCATCGACCACTTCATGCGGCTCTTCTACAACACTCTTCTTTTGCTCGACTCTAAACGAGCTGTATCCAGCTCTCCACAAACTTGAGATATCATGAAATCAGGATATGGTATTTTAGGTAGTAAGACATCGGGTTTATGAAGTGTACTCCCTTCTATCATAAGTGACGTGGCGAATGGCGGATGAAATGCTTGCGTGTGCATGACGTGGAGTGGATCTTTGCAGCTGCTCCCCTCCTTACCTCCCTCGTTCGGTAAACTGCTGGCCCCAAGCCCTAGGGGAGCGTGTGGTGCCGGGGTGCCAACCACACATCTAGCAGAATGAACAGTATTTCCGAACCTTGCTGCGAACGGCACCTTCGGGTGGATATTCTGGAGGATGATTGATTGAAATCCATTGGAGTTTATCTGGGCTGATCCCGGTCTGAATTGAAAAAACAAATTATCTACTGTGAAAAATTCGCCCCATTTCGTCTCCCCAGCTATCCCCTTGCCCCATTCGTGCTCAGCCCATTCCCGCCCCCAAATCTGCCTGTAAAAAGCCCCAGCGGCGCGCGTTGATCATGGCAAGAGCAGCGCGCAAGCCCGAGATTTTCATTCCGCCCCACTTTCCCCCTCCCTCCAGCCCAGCCCCTTGGGAAGGAATATACTGTACCCCACCTTGCTCGGGCTAACTGCTCAAGTGAAGAGCCCACCAGCTAGGACCATCAGGTCGCTAAGTCCCTTCAACAGCCGGGGGAGAGGGGGGTTAGGTTGGTTCTGTTACCGAAGTCTCCCTGACGTGTGCGGAGCGGAGGAGCCGAGTCTTTCAACACCCGTGGGAAGGCTTGAAACCCCACCGCGACGCACGCCGGAAATGGCGGCCCGCGTTGTTCTACAGGCGCAGCCGCAGTGGTGCCAGATCGGCGCCCCAAGCAGCGGCGGATTTTCCGGGAATGGCGCCGGGAGCGGCGAGAGAGTTCGGAGTTGCCGTGTGAGCCTCGCGCACTGCCCCAGCGCGCGGGGCCGCATTGGCGCAAGCGGGCGCATGGGCGCGGGGAGCAGCGCGCTGCACGGCAATGAGCGCTGGCGCAAAGTGCTTTCCGCCACCGCCAAGCCGAAGTGGGGGCACAGTACGTGAATAGCGGTCATACCCTAGTATGTAGGGCCAGTTTGCAACGGCAACTATAGATAACGCGTCGTCGCGAATAGCGCGTATATGTCAATGAGGCCGCATGTGACTGCTGCCTGATCCGCAGATAGTCACTACGCCCTCCCTCACGCGCTTAGTGTTAACTTGTCAACACGCGGAACGCGGAGCACGGTTGCCGTTAGCGTTGACTTGTCAACACGCGGAACGTGGAGCTTTTGAGAATTCTCAAAAACGTCCGGCAACCGGGCCGAAATGGGCGATGGCAGACGTCCGTCCGTCCGTCCGTGCTTCCGTCCATCGCGCATCTCGGCCCCGTTGTTGGGGCACAGTGGATGTACGTAACTAAGGAATACCTTTCTCGAGTGCCTTTTACTCACGTTCGTGCTCTTGTCCTCCACTCTGTTCGCTCCCTCTCTCCATGGTCTTGCTGCATGGCCGGCATGGTGCCCCGCACGTCTTTCCGCGGTCAGCGTTCAAGCGCTCCTCGCCCAGGTGGACGGCAGCAGTCGTGCCCTCCACCAAGCCGCCCGCCAAACGGTGCGTGCTCCCTCCCACTGCCGCGTGGTGCGTGGTGCGTGGTTCTGTACCATCCCTCACTAGCGTTCACCCGCATCGCTCCCAGACGGCAGCAGTCGTGCCCTCCACCAAGCCGCCCGCCAGCACGGCGTGCATTCTTCTATCCCATGCTTAACGAGTCTGCTTTTGATATGAGTCGACTAAAAAGCGGTGTGCATCCTGCTATCCCATTGCCGCCTCTCCCTCCCTTTCACCCAGCGCTCTCCTTTGAGCCATCGCGCTTCTGGATCTCGCATGCAGCGCGCAATCCGACGCGCTGCTTTTGAGTCGACTCAAAAGTCACCTCTTTGCTTCGGGGCCAGCCCTGGACTGACTCCCGTCGCCCTCGCCCTCCCGCCCTCCACACCACCGGCGATGCCCGGCCCGGCCCTCCCCCCATTCCTCTCCCCCCTCTCCCCCCCCCTCCCTTCCTTCCCCCCTACATTCCCCCCTTCCCCTCTTCCTCCCTCCCTCCCCCTCCCCCCTCCCCCCTCCCCCTCCTCCGTCCTTCCCCGCCACCCTCCATTCTCCCGTTCGCGTCTCTCTGGCAGCCAATCGGAGCAGCACCAGGTCGACAACGCCCACTCTCGCCATGCTCACAACGCACACAGCCACAGCGCCAGCACAAACAGCAGCAGCCCCAGCAGCAGCAGCAGCAGCATCAAGGCGGTGGTGTCGGTGGCGAGCAGCCCTCCGCCCGTGTCTATTCCCCGCGAGCCCGTCGCCCGGCGCCTCTTCGCGAGCTTCTCCAAGTCCGGCAGGAAACGGCCCCTGGTACGCGGGCTGCTTGGTGTGAGTCGGGGGAGGGTGAGGAATTGCGGGGGGAATGGGGGAAGGGGGGGAAGGTGGGGGAAGGGGGAGGGGGGGAAGGAGCCCGTCACCCGGCGCCTCTTCGCGAGCTTCTCCAAATGCGGCAGGAAACAGCCCCTGGTACGCGGGCTGCTTGGAAGGGGGCTTGTGGAAAGGAGGGGGGGCGGGGGGGGAGGGAGGGGAGGGGAGTGGGGGGAGAGTGGGGGAAGGGGGATGGGGGGGGGGGGGGGGAGGAATGATGGGAAGGTATCGGGGTTTGGTGTGTGCCATCCTGCCAGGGCCATGGGGGTAGGTTGACGCACTTAGGGGATTCTCAAAATACACATGCCAGAAATACTCTCGAAATCTTCGTTGCTCTTCCCCTCTCTTCCCTCGGTCTCTCCCTCGCTTTCCTCAATTGAGGAGTCGTAGATGGATTACAGGTGGGCTGCGGAGGCCTTATTCCGTCAGCCCCGCCATCCCTTTCCTCAATCCAACTATCCCCCCTCACGTGTTCTTTCCCAGTGTTCCTCTCTAAGCAGGCAGGTTCTTGAGAATTTTAAGAAACTCACTCCCTCCTTCCCTCCCTCCCTCCCTCCCCCCCGTGGTCTCCCCTGGGAGCGAGCAGTGGAAGCAAGCGGGCATGTGGATAGCGGGTGCGGTCACAGCAGCCGTGGGCGTGCAAGTCAGCGCGCAAGTGCTCGATGTGAGTGCAACAGTTGACTGGTTGACTTGTTGACTTGATTGACTCAATAGTCAACATCTGCGTCCAATCTTCCCCTTGTCTTCCTCCAGTCTTGCTTCCTCCACTCTTGCTTCCTCCTTCCAACATTTCCTTCGGGATCAATCCCTCCCTCTGCTCGTCCCCCTCCTTTCTCTCCTTCCTCTCTTTCCTCTCTGGCGCTCAACTTCCCCTCTCCCCCCCCCCCCCCCCCTCCCCCATACCTAAACGGCACCCGGCTTCCCCCCTTCCCCACACCCCCCCGTTGTGCGCCCAGGCGCTGGACAAGGTGCCTTTCCTCGCGGATCTTGAGGTGCTGGTGGGCACGGGGGTGGCGCTCAACTTCCTCTCGTCCTACGTCACGGGGGGCCCGGGTGAGAAGGACATGGTAGTGTGGTGGGTGGCAGGGGAGGCTTGAGCTGGTCCGTACCTGGCTACCTCAGCGTCCAGGTGCTGGTGGGCACGGGGGTGGCGCTCAACTTCCTCTCGTCCTACGTCACGGGCGGGCCGGGTAGGTCGAATGGTGGTGGTGGGGCTCGGTAGTGTGGGTGACACGGGAGGCTTGAGTTGGTCCGCACCTAACTGCCTCAGCTTCCTGATTCGGAGTCTATTTTTAAGCCGCCTCATAACTAGACTCGGCTCGGTAGTGTGGGCGACACGGGAGGCTTGAGAGTTGGTTCGCACCAAACCACCTCAGCTTCCAAGTTCGGAGTCTATTTTTGAGGTGCCTCACGATTAGACTCGGCAAGGTAGTGTGGGCGACACGGGAGGCTTGAGAGTTGGTTCGCACCAAACTACCTCAGCTTCCAAGTTCGGAGTCTATTTTTAAGCGGCCTCATAACTAGACTTGGCAAGTTAGTGTGGCTGACACAGGAGGCTTGAGAGTTTGGTCCGCACCAAACCGCCTCATAACCAGACTCGGCTCGGTAGTGTGGGCGACACGGGAGGCTTGAGAGTTGGTTCGCACCTGGCTACCCTGGCTTCCAAGTGCTCATGGGCATGGCAGTGGCGCTCAACTTCCTCTCCTACTCTTGAGATGATTTTTTAGTAGACTCAAAAATCGCTTCCAAGTTCTGGTGGCACGGCAGTGGCGCTCAGCTTCCTCTCCTCTCCTCCTACGCCACGGGCGGGCCGGGTGAGATGCCGGGGGAAGCCATAAAGTAGGTTCCATGGCGGTGTGGGTAAGCCATCGGGTAATCATATGGGTAAGCGTAGGGGTGAGTTGCGGCAGCTTGGGGTATGGGAGTCACGGGAGTCACGGGAGTCACGGACAGCATCCGGTGCCCTGACGCACCCACCCACCAACACCGACCCTCTGCCCTCCCCATCCCTTTTCCTCCCATTCTCGGCCCCCCATCACCCCGCCCCCAGCACGAGTGCGTGTGGAGTTTAGCATTGAGAGCATAGTGGACGCCGTCCGGGGCACCGACACTCCCACTGACACCCTGTTCGTCCCTCACCGCTCCCCCCTTTTTCGTCTCGCCCATTCTCCCCCCCCAACTGCCAGCAAGAGCGCGCGTGGAGTCGAGCATTGAGAGCATAGTGGACGCCGTCCGGGGCACCGACACTCCCACTGACTCCGACCTGCAGAGCCAGATCCAGCAGCTGCTGGAAGAAACCGCCGTCCCTGCTTACGCCGCCACCTCCCCCTCCTCCTCCTCTCTCTCCTCCGCTCCCTCCTCGTCCCCTGCGCCGTCCTTTGCTGCTAGAGTCGCTGCTAAAGCGCTCTCCAAGGCTGCGGGTAGGAAGGCTGGGGAGGACAGGGAGGCAAAGACTGGGCTAACCATCGGGTCAGCTCAGCTGATGGGGGAGAGGGGAGGGGAGGAGGGAGAGGGAAGAGGGGAGGTGGTGCTGGTAAAGAAACAGTCTCTTATAAGCCGATTGGTGGATCTGGTGAGGGGCAAGGAGGTCAAGACAAAACGTGCCACCCTCGCGCTGCAAGCCGAGGCCGCCCGCTCCCAGGCGCTGCAGTCCCGGACGGCGGATCTGAACCAATCGCTGCAGGCCAGCAAGCGGGCGGCGCAGGCTGCCGCCCAGAAACTGGAGGAGCTGCGGGCGGCGAACGGGCGGCTGCAGGAGGAGAGGGGCGGCGCCCGGGCGGCAATGGGTGGACTGCAGCAGGAGGTGGCTGCGCTTTCTGCTGACCTGGAGAATCTGACGGCTGATAGCAACGCCCTGAAGAGATCCAAGGAGGAGGTGAGGGGGGGCGAGAGAAGTATGTTGTGGGAAAGGGGGAGGGAGGGGGTAAGAGGGGGGGGGGTTTTGTTTGCAGCTGAGGCGCTGCTGAGGGAGTCGTGAGCCATCTCACTCAACAGCCATCCTTGCCTCCCCACTCCCAATTCCCCATCCCCCGTTCCCCCCTTTCTCCCTGTTCCCCCCGTTCCCCCTGTTCCCCCCGTTCCCCCCGTTCCCCCCGTTCCCCCCGTTCCCCCCGTTCCCCCTGTTCGCCCTGTTCCCCCGGTTCCCGTGCCTCTCCCCCCTCCACCCCTTCCCCTCCCCCTCTCCTCTCTTCCCCCTCCCCCTCTCCTCCCTTCCCCCTCCCCCTCTCCTCTCTTCCCCCTCCCCCTCTCCTCCCTTCCCCCTCCCCCTCTCCTCTCTTCCCCCTCCCCCTCTCCTCCCTTCCCCCTCCCCCTCTCCTCCCTTCCCCCTCCCCCTCTCCTCCCTTCCCCACTCCCCACCTCCCCTCTTCCCGCCCCCAGCTCGCGTCCAAGGTGCAGGCAACGCTGTTTGAGAACCAGTCACTGCAGGCCAGGCTGGAATCCGCCAAGGCTCTGCAGCAGCAGCAGGTGCAGGTGGCGGAGCGAATGCGGGCGGAGCTGGCTGCAGCCGAGGCGCGGCTGAGGGAGAGGGAGGAGGCGCTTCAAAGCGCACGGGCGGAGAGTGCTGTGGAAAAGACGACGTTTGCCGCCCGGCTTGAAAGCATGAAGGTGGGGTTCTTGGGAGTGAGTCTGCTGGGCTGTTGGTCCAGATGTGACTGCGTATGGCTGCTTGGACGGATGGATGGATGGATGGATGGACGGACGGACGGACGGACGGACAGACGGACGGATGGGCGGGCGGGCGGGCGGTGGACGGGCGGACGGGCGGGCGGGCGGGCGGACGGGCGGGCGGGCGGGCGGGTGGGTGGGTGGGTGGGTGCACGAGGAGAGTGCGGTGGAAAAGACGACGCTTGCCACCTGGCTTGAAAGCATGAAGGTGGGGTTCTCGAGAGTGAGGCTGGGAGGCTGGGAGGCTGGGAGGCTGTTGGTCAGGGAGTCTGGGAGTCCAGATGTGTGGGGGGGCTGGGAGGGAGGGATGAGGCGCTAAAGAGGGTGCGGGTGGCGGTAGTAGATTGCGCACGAGAAAAAAACACAATCTTTGGCACCCGGCTTGATGATATGCAGGTGCGCGCGCGCTCTGCTGGTGACTTTTGAGTCGACTCATGAGTCACCTGACGATGCGCAGGTGCGCGCTCTGCTGAGGGTGTGACAATGGTGGTGGGGAACGATGGGGTACAGATTCTGTTGTATGATTTTAAGAGGTCATGTGCGGTGCGGTGCGGTGCAAACATGGACTATTAGACCCTATCTTTCCCTCTGTCCCTGTCTCTCACCCCATGTATTCCCCATCCAGAAAGAGCGGGACGAGGCACTAGCAGCAGTAGTGGTGATGGAGGGGCGACTAGCCGCAGTGGAGGCAACCCTGCAGCAAGCCACGCAGGCGCGCACCGACCTTTTCAAGAACAACGCCGAGCTCAAAGCACGCCTCGAGGCCGTCCTGCAGCAGAACAGGGACCTTGCCACCCAGGCCGCCCGCATGGAGGAGAGCGGGCGGCAGGTTTCGGCGGTGTTCGAGCAGAGGGAGGGGGCGCTGGTGCAGCAGATCCGGACCCGTGAGGCTGACCTGGCGGCGCAGAAGAAACAGGCGGCTGCTGAGCTGGCGGGGGTTGAATCCAGGCTGGAGGGGGCGCTGCGGAAAGCAGAGGAGGAGAAGCAGAAATACATGGAGGCGTGTGATTGGCTGGAGAAGCAGCTTGCGACTCTGAAGGCCGAGAATGAGACGACGATCGCCGACCTTCGCTCGTCTCTAGCGTTTGCGGAGCAACGGGCCAAGGAGGAGGCGGCCAAGGTGGTGCAGCTGCGTGCTGAGCTGGACAAGCAGACGAAAGATGCCGCCCGGCACAAGGCGGCGCTGCAGAAGAAGGTCGCTGAGCTGGAGGGCAAGCTCGGGTCCAGCCAATCACAGCTCTCCATTGCTGAGAAGGCCCTCGCCACCGCCACGGCTGCGGCCAATCGCGTGAGGACAGCTGGCAAGGATGCGCTGGCGGGGCTGGTGGTGCCGTCTGTGGCTCCTGCTAAGGGGGCAGCTGGAGCAGCAGCTGTAGCAGGAGAAGAGGAGGTAGGAAGAAAGGGAGGGAAGAGAAATGGGAAGGCTGCCGTGGGGATTGCCGAGAGCAAGCAGCAGAAGCAGCAGCAGCAGCAGCAGGAGGAGAAGCAAGGGAAGGAGGAGGAGAAGGAGAGGGCTCAGCGCATGAGGGAGGGCGATTTGAAGGTGTACGCGCGGGCCATCTTCCCTGCCTACGTGGACGTGAAGGGCCCCACGCGGGAACAGTCGCGAGGAGTCAACGCCCTTGTGCAGGTATGCTGTGTTAGTTTCTTCCACGCTGGTATGCTGGTTCGCTGGTATGCTGGTTCGCTGGTATGCTGGTTCGCTGGTATGCTGGTTCGCTGGTATGCTGGTACGCTCATTCCGGAATTGCTTTTTTCACTGGATGCAGCCCATCAAAGCCACATGCCTTCCACGCGTCTCCTGCTTGGGTTACCTCTTGCCATACTACCCACCACTTATTATGAGTTGTCTGCTGTTAATACATGCATTGTCATCGTCGGTCTCCTCCCTATTATTCTCATGGCTTTCTGAGATTCCTGTCATTCTTTCTGCCCTTTCTTTCCCCATCCTCCCTCCCAGGACTTGGTGGGCAAGGGAGCGGAGGAGCAGTGGGCGCGCAACCATGTGGCAGAGGCGCTTCTCAAGCCCGCCCTTTCTGCTGCCGCCGCTGTGGCAAAGACTGGCACTGCTGGTGCTGAGAAGTCAGGCAAGAAGGTAAGGCTTCTGTCCCTATCTAGTGGTAACGTGTCCCTATCTAGTGGTAACGTGTCCCTATCTAGTGGTAACGTGTCCCTATCTAGTGGTAACGTGTCCCTATCTAGTGGTAACGTGTCCCTATCTAGTGGTAACGTGTCCCTATCTAGTGGTAACGTGTCCCTATCTAGTGGTAACGTGTCAGCAAATGGAGCTGTAGGCGTGTAACCACGCGGCAGAGGCGCTCGCTCTCTGCTTCTGTCCCTCTCTCAAACCCGCCCTCTCTGCTGCTGCTGCTGCCGCTGTAGCAAAGACCAGCTCTGCTGGTGCTGAGAGGAGAGGCAAAATGGTAATATCAATCACTTAAGTACCCTCGCACTCTTTTTAGTACTCCCGGCATGTACAACCGACGCCCTTCAAGCCACTCATAGGCAAGTGCCAGTTGTCATGCATCTGCTGCCGGCGGGGGGCTGTGGGAAGAAGAGTACTCTACTGTACGTTGGCTGTACTTGTATGCTTCTATCCCTCCAACGTACAGCACTCCTCATGCTTTTTCTTACTCCCTTTTCCCCCTCAGCATCCCCCAGTTGTATTTTGAGTAAAAGGGATGCATACATGTCACCATGCATACTCAAAAGACTCCCTTTTTCCCCTCAGCATCCCCCACCATCACCCCAGCCGACCAGCGTGTGACCAAGGAGGCCCAGCATTCATACGCAAGAGCCTGTTCAGCATGCTTACTTCATCCGTCTGTCTATCCCTTCTCGTTATTGTACCCCTCCCCTCGCCCCTTTTGCATGCTTCTCCCCACCGTGTGACCAAGGAGGCCCTGCAGTCGTATGCTAGGGCCATCCAGCACGCATACATTGTTGCGTCTATCTAAACCTCCCTCCCTTCCTCCTCTACGTCCTTTACAACCACAGCGTGTGACCAAGGAAGCCCTTCAGTCGTATGCTCGAGCCATTCAGCATGCGTACATCGATGCGACTATCCCTGCGAAGGAGCAGCAGGCAGGCATGCAGCTGCTGGTGCAGGTGAGGGGGGGGGAGGGGAAGGGGGTGGGGGGGAGGGAGGGGGCGGGGTGGTGGAAAAGTGGGATGGGAGGAGGGTTCCGAGGGAAGAGGGTAGCGTGGAGAAGGGCCATCCAGCATGCATGCATAGATGCATCTGTCCCTGTGAAGGAGCAGCAGGCGCCCATGTAGCTGCTCGTGCATGTGACGTGGGGGGAAAGGAGGGGGGAGGGGGAGGGGGAGGGATGGGGCGTGCTGGCAAGGGGGATGAGAGGGGGGTTCTGGGGGAAGGGGGTAACTTGGAGAAGGGTCATTCGGCATGGGTACATCGATGCGTCCATCCCAGTGAAGGAGCGGCAGGCAGGCATGCAGCTGCTGGCGCACGTGAGGTGGGGGGGGGGGGGGGGGGTTGTTGGAAAGGGGGATGAGAGGGTGGTTCTGAGGGGAACGGAAGGAAGAGGGTAGCGTGGAGAAGGGCCATCCAGCGTGCATACATCGATGCGTCCATCCCTGTGAAGGAGCAGCAGGCAGGCATGCAGCTGCTGGTGCAGGTGAGTGTGTGTGGGGAGATGGGAGAAGGGGGGGGAGGAGGACGGAGGGAGGTGGGTGTGGTGGGAGGACGAGGGGGGGGGGGGAGAAGTTATGAGGCAGAGCAGACCACTATGGCAACGTGTGTAATGAGTCGACTAAAAAATCGACTCATTACACGTGGTGGGAGGACGGGGGGGGGGGGGGGGAGAAGATGGTATGAGGCAGAGCAGACCACTATGGCAAGGTTGGGATGTTTGGGTCTTGACTCTTGAACAGTGAGAGTCAATGCGCTGAGGCTTCTGGTTGAGTTTTGAGTCGACTAAAAAGTTTGAACAGTGAGAGTCAATGCACTGGGCCTACTGTTTGACTCGATCGGTGCTGCTGCTGTGTGTGTTAGAGCTGCTGCTGCTGCTGCTGCTGCTGCTGCTGTGCCGTAGAGGTGTTGTTGGAGCTGGTCTGATTACTCCCTACCCTACACTTGTGTCATGTGCATGTGGGTGGAATGTATGCCCTGCATCTCATGTTTCTGATGTTTGACTGGTATGTACGCATGGTGTGTGGCATGTATGCACGTTGGGTGATGTGACATGACATGACATGACATGATCTGACATGATCTGACATCGCATGGCATGGCATGGCATGGCATGGCATGTGGCACGCACAGGAGCTGGTGGCGATGGGAGGGGAGGAGGAGTGGGCGCGCAGCTTCGTCAAAGACTCCATGCCCGGCATCATGGCTGGCGGCGGCAGGAAGTGAAGTGACTGCTAAAAAAGGCTGCAGACGTCATGGGGATCCAAGAGGCCCCAAGAGGCTCCGAAAGGCTCCTTGAGTGTCCAAGGTCCCCCAAGGTGCTCCAAGGTGCTCCAAGGTGCTCCAAGGTGCCCCAAGGTGCATGTCTTCGCTTGGGTTAACTGCCGTTGACCTGGCAAGGATGCAGTTGATTGCGAATCAGTCGTGTGGAATGGTTGGATTGGATTGGATTGGATTGGATGGCTCTAGGTGTGATGTGTCGCGATATTTATTTGGCATGGTGAATTGTCTTAACTTATGCAGAATGTGCTGTCACTTGTGAAAGTTCTGGCATTGAGACTTCTTTCATGGTGATTATTATGCAGCAATGACCAATGCCTGCAGTCCAGTGGCAGAGCACACCACCACCATTTCTGAACAAACCAATTCCATGAGGACAAGCCAAACTAATTCCACATACCCCCTCACTCTCTCTTGTCTGCCAAAGACAGTCCCCAAGCTAAGATAGCCTTCAGCACTGTACAGCAAAAGCATACGCTATGTGTCCTGTCCTGGCTTCATGGGTCATGCCCCTTCACTCTCTTCTCTGCCAGAAATAGCCCCCAGGCCTGGTCCCCATCCCTCACTCGCTTCATCTTGGCCGTCCATCCTGCCACTAGCTGATCGTCCTGCTCGAGAGGAGTCGCTCAAAGGGTTGAGAGGGGTACAAATTGGGTGGGGGGGAAGGGGGGGGGAGGTGAGGCGGATGAAAGGTAGAGCAAATGGTTTAGACAACAGAACCTGGCAACAGATTCACACATGAATCATGCATATGAATGAAACCCAGCCAACTCATACACATATGAATGAAACCCAGCCAACTCATACGCCTATGAATGAAACCCAGCCAACTCACTGAGTTGGATACTTGGCTGGTGCTGGGGATCATCTCAGAGAGCACTCGGCTCTTCTCCTCCTCCAGAATGGCCAGGAACTGACAAGCAGCAGGTGCAAGGGGAGGGTGGTTGAGGGGGGGATGGAGGAAGGTAGGGGGTGGAAGGGGAGGGTATGGGAGAGGGGGTAGGATCTATGATTAGCTCCCAGTGCTCTTAGATAAACCCTAGACTTTCCCCATACCGGGACTATCCCTGCTCCTGAATGGCAAGGAAGGAGCTGAGCGCAACAGGAATGCCTGATAGGAGGTGTGGCACTACTGTTCAATGCATCTGCTGCGTTCTGGTTCTTCCCTCAGCTTGCTGCAGGAAGTGTGTCTCGAGCCTCTGCCTTCTTGCTGCTCTGCAGCACAGCAGCAAAGGCTCGAATCCCTACCTGCTGCGATCGGTCCTCAGCTTTGAGCACGTGGAAGCCCGCTGCCTGGAGGAGCTGCAAGGAACAGGTGAGCAGATGACGGTTGCATGTGTTGTTACGGAGTAACAGCAGGTATAGGAGGGGAACCTGGTTACAACAGAATGGAGAATTTGAAGGCATGGATAGAGGCAGAAATGTTCTTGGTGCGTGTTACTTGCATATACAGTGAAGGGTAGTAGTGTTACCGAGACAAGCGGGTATGTACCTCGCTTAGATCAATCTTACCTCGCTGTAGCGCCGGACTGTCACCAGGTGGTAGCCGCGTTGCGCCACGTAACCCTTGAACTCATCCGACCACTGGTCATCCTTGTCCTTTCCGCTACAATAGTCCGTGATCAGCACTTTGCCGCCCGGCTTCAGCCAGCGGTGGAAGCGGGCGAACAGGTGAGGTTTGTCCTGTAGTGGGGTATGGCATGGGTGGCATGTACTGGGGGTATGGCATGGGGGTATGGCATGGGTGGCATGCAGTGGGCCCATGGACCATGGTCAGCAATGGTCGGCGCAATGTGATGATGGTACTATGACAGAATGTTGTGAAGATATACCCGCATGATTTCATGATCGGTTACAGGCATGCCCGATGATGCTCATGATTGTCATGATTGTCATGATTGTCATGATGATGGTCATGATGATCACGATGGTCACAATGGTCATGATGGTCACGATGCTCATGATAGTCATGATGGTCATGATGGTCATGATGGTCATGATGGTCATGATGGTCATGCTGCTCATGTTGCTCATGGTGCTCATGGTGCTCATGGTGCTCATGCTGCTCATGGTGCTCATGGTGCTCATGGTGCTCATGGGAATGCCATGCGTGGCCCGGCATACCTGGATGTGCAGCAGGGTGTCACGGGTGTAGATGCAGTCAAAGGCAGCATCGGGAAAGTTTCTGGTCAGGCAGTCAGCCACTTCGAACTGCACCACAGGCATGACTGCTGATGTGGATGATGACGTGGCTGCAGGCGCTGACGTGGCCGCAGCAGCGTGGATGCTGCGTGATCGCTCAATGGCAAGAGAGATCTGTTGAGGGCCAAGAATGGGTTGTGAAAGGCGCATGAGAGGCGAACGTGGAAGAGGGACGTGACAGACGCACGTGACGAGCATGCATCTCCTCGGCCCCATGACAATGCAGTCACAAAGATGCCACCGCAGGGATGCCACCGCAGGGATGCCTCCGCAGGGATGCCAATACAGAAGTACAATGACGCCAACATTAAGGGTTGTAGACCATAGCAGGCAGAGGGCTACTATGGTAGGCGAGAAGTCTACGACAGTTACACTGGCGCCGTAGAGCGATGCCATGAGCATGGCATTACCGCCTACACCACACCCATCCAGTGACCTGCCATGGTTGATGAGAGGTCTATGGCATGCACACTGGCGCCATTCAGGAATGCCATGAGCATGGCACTGCCCCCAAGTCCACACGTTTCCACCATCCAGCCCACATGTCCCCACCCATCTGTATCACCACCATCAGCTCGCCACGGGTGAGGTGAGGAGCCTAGTTTTGAGGCGCCTCAAAAATAGGCACTCAGACCACGCGTGCCCACCTCAGGTGTAACATAGTCATCGTCAGACCACGCGTCCCCCCTCAGGTGTATGACAATCATCGTCAGACCACGCGTCCCCCCTCAGTTGTATGACAATCATCGTCAGACCACGCGTCCCCCCTCAGTTGTATGACAATCATCGTCAGACCACGCCTTCCCCCTCATTTGTATGACAATCATCGTCAGACCACGCCTCCCCCCTCATTTGTATGACAATCATCGTCAGACCACGCCTCCCCCCTCATTTGTATGACAATCATCGTCAGACCACGCCTCCCCCCTCATTTGTATGACAATCATCGTCAGACCACGCCTTCCCCCTCATTTGTATGACAATCATCGTCAGACCACGCCTTCCCCCTCATTTGTATGACAATCATCGTCAGACCACGCCTCCCCCCTCATTTGTATGACAATCATCGTCAGACCACGCCTTCCCCCTCATTTGTATGACAATCATCGTCAGACCACGCCTCCCCCCTCATTTGTATGACAATCATCGTCAGACCACGCCTCCCCCCTCATTTGTATGACAATCATCGTCAGACCACGCCTTCCCCCTCATTTGTATGACAATCATCGTCAGACCACGCCTCCCCCCTCATTTGTATGACAATCATCGTCAGACCACGCCTCCCCCCTCATTTGTATGACAATCATCGTCAGACCACGCCTCCCCCCTCATTTGTATGACAATCATCGTCAGACCACGCCTCCCCCCTCATTTGTATGACAATCATCGTCAGACCACGCCTCCCCCCTCATTTGTATGACAATCATCGTCAGACCACGCCTCCCCCCTCATTTGTATGACAATCATCGTCAGACCACGCCTCCCCCCTCATTTGTATGACAATCATCGTCAGACCACGCCTCCCCCCTCATTTGTATGACAATCATCGTCAGACCACGCCTTCCCCCTCATTTGTATGACAATCATCGTCAGACCACGCCTTCCCCCTCATTTGTATGACAATCATCGTCAGACCACGCCTCCCCCTCATTTGTATGACAATCATCGTCAGACCACGCCTCCCCCCTCATTTGTATGACAATCATCGTCAGACCACGCCTCCCCCCTCATTTGTATGACAATCATCGTCAGACCACGCCTCCCCCCTCATTTGTATGACAATCATCGTCAGACCACGCCTCCCCCCTCATTTGTATGACAATCATCGTCAGACCACGCCTCCCCCCTCATTTGTATGACAATCATCGTCAGACCACGCCTTCCCCCTCATTTGTATGACAATCATCGTCAGACCACGCCTCCCCCCTCATTTGTATGACAATCATCGTCAGACCACGCCTCCCCCCTCATTTGTATGACAATCATCGTCAGACCACGCCTCCCCCCTCATTTGTATGACAATCATCGTCAGACCACGCCTCCCCCCTCATTTGTATGACAATCATCGTCAGACCACGCCTCCCCCCTCATTTGTATGACAATCATCGTCAGACCACGCCTCCCCCCTCATTTGTATGACAATCATCGTCAGACCACGCCTTCCCCCTCATTTGTATGACAATCATCGTCAGACCACGCCTCCCCCCTCATTTGTATGACAATCATCGTCAGACCACGCCTTCCCCCTCATTTGTATGACAATCATCGTCAGACCACGCCTCCCCCCTCATTTGTATGACAATCATCGTCAGACCACGCCTCCCCCCTCATTTGTATGACAATCATCGTCAGACCACGCCTTCCCCCTCATTTGTATGACAATCATCGTCAGACCACGCCTCCCCCCTCATTTGTATGACAATCATCGTCAGACCACGCCTCCCCCCTCATTTGTATGACAATCATCGTCAGACCACGCCTCCCCCCTCATTTGTATGACAATCATCGTCAGACCACGCCTCCCCCCTCATTTGTATGACAATCATCGTCAGACCACGCCTTCCCCCTCATTTGTATGACAATCATCGTCAGACCACGCCTCCCCCCTCATTTGTATGACAATCATCGTCAGACCACGCCTCCCCCCTCATTTGTATGACAATCATCGTCAGACCACGCCTCCCCCCTCATTTGTATGACAATCATCGTCAGACCACGCCTCCCCCCTCATTTGTATGACAATCATCGTCAGACCACGCCTCCCCCCTCATTTGTATGACAATCATCGTCAGACCACGCCTCCCCCCTCATTTGTATGACAATCATCGTCAGACCACGCCTTCCCCCTCATTTGTATGACAATCATCGTCAGACCACGCCTCCCCCCTCATTTGTATGACAATCATCGTCAGACCACGCCTTCCCCCTCATTTGTATGACAATCATCGTCAGACCACGCCTCCCCCTCATTTGTATGACAATCATCGTCAGACCACGCCTCCCCCCTCATTTGTATGACAATCATCGTCAGACCACGCCTCCCCCCTCATTTGTATGACAATCATCGTCAGACCACGCCTCCCCCCTCATTTGTATGACAATCATCGTCAGACCACGCCTCCCCCCTCATTTGTATGACAATCATCGTCAGACCACGCCTCCCCCCTCATTTGTATGACAATCATCGTCAGACCACGCCTCCCCCCTCAGTTGTATGACAATCATCGTCAGACCACGCCTCCCCCCTCATTTGTATGACAATCATCGTCAGACCACGCCTTCCCCCTCATTTGTATGACAATCATCGTCAGACCACGCCTCCCCCCTCATTTGTATGACAATCATCGTCAGACCACGCCTCCCCCCTCATTTGTATGACAATCATCGTCAGACCACGCCTTCCCCCTCATTTGTATGACAATCATCGTCAGACCACGCCTCCCCCCTCATTTGTATGACAATCATCGTCAGACCACGCCTCCCCCCTCATTTGTATGACAATCATCGTCAGACCACGCCTCCCCCCTCATTTGTATGACAATCATCGTCAGACCACGCCTCCCCCCTCATTTGTATGACAATCATCGTCAGACCACGCCTCCCCCCTCATTTGTATGACAATCATCGTCAGACCACGCCTTCCCCCTCATTTGTATGACAATCATCGTCAGACCACGCCTCCCCCCTCATTTGTATGACAATCATCGTCAGACCACGCCTCCCCCCTCATTTGTATGACAATCATCGTCAGACCACGCCTCCCCCCTCATTTGTATGACAATCATCGTCAGACCACGCCTCCCCCCTCATTTGTATGACAATCATCGTCAGACCACGCCTCCCCCCTCATTTGTATGACAATCATCGTCAGACCACGCCTCCCCCCTCATTTGTATGACAATCATCGTCAGACCACGCCTCCCCCCTCATTTGTATGACAATCATCGTCAGACCACGCCTCCCCCCTCATTTGTATGACAATCATCGTCAGACCACGCCTCCCCCCTCATTTGTATGACAATCATCGTCAGACCACGCCTCCCCCCTCATTTGTATGACAATCATCGTCAGACCACGCCTCCCCCCTCATTTGTATGACAATCATCGTCAGACCACGCCTCCCCCCTCATTTGTATGACAATCATCGTCAGACCACGCCTCCCCCCTCATTTGTATGACAATCATCGTCAGACCACGCCTCCCCCCTCATTTGTATGACAATCATCGTCAGACCACGCCTCCCCCTCATTTGTATGACAATCATCGTACAATCATCGTCAGACCACGCCTCCCCCCTCATTTGTATGACAATCATCGTCAGACCACGCCTCCCCCTCATTTGTATGACAATCATCGTCAGACCACGCCTTCCCCCTCATTTGTATGACAATCATCGTCAGACCACGCCTCCCCCCTCATTTGTATGACAATCATCGTCAGACCACGCCTCCCCCCTCATTTGTATGACAATCATCGTCAGACCACGCCTCCCCCCTCATTTGTATGACAATCATCGTCAGACCACGCCTCTCCCCTCATTTGTATGACAATCATCGTCAGACCACGCCTCTCCCCTCATTTGTATGACAATCATCGTCAGACCACGCCTCCCCCCTCAGTTGTATGACAATCATCGTCGTCTCACCATGGTGGGTGAGAGGTCGATGGCATGCACGCTCGCACCACACAGGGTTGCCATGAGCATGGCACTGCCCCCGAGGCCGCATCCCACGTCCAGCACTCGGCGGTGAGGGGAAAGGGAGAGGAGCGGGAGTACAGAGAGTGTGGAGTCTGCAAGGGGGTGTATAGAGAAAGGGTTTGGGGGAGTGTGGGGAAAAGGGGGAGGGGAAGGGGAGGGTGTGAGAAATAAGGGACTGGATGGAATACAAGAGCAGATGAGCAGATGAGAATAAGAGATGTACGGGAATGGCTTTTGAATGGGATAGGAGGGTGATGCCTTGTAGTCGACTCAAAAGCAGATGGGAGGGTGATGAGAAAGGAGGGTTGAAGATGTGAGTCAACGTGACCACGGTTGAATCTAGTTGACTCTCCATGACCGATTTCACTGACAAATCCATCACCGTAGAATTTCTCATGATTTTTAATTGACGAAAGCTTTCAATTCACTCCCCTTGAATCCACCGTTGACTTCAGCGTTGACTCTCATTGACCCCATTGTTGACTCACCACGACCGCCGGTGCTAACGAAGCCATGGCCGTAGATGTGCTCGTAGCGCAGAATGCTCTCCAGACTGTACTGCTGGCGCTCCTGATTCTCCTGACACCCCTGGCTCTCCCCACTGTCTTGACGGTCTTGGCTATCTGTGGTGGAACCTGTGCCCCCCATGGCATGCCGCACCTTCTGCCACACCCAGCACACCTGCGTCTGGCACCCCTTCACTCGGGAGTATGCCGCAACGCTCCTCATCTCCCGCAGCCTGAACCTCCACCCTTTGCCTCCTCCCTGCGGATCTTGCTGCTGCTGGTTGGGGAGGTGGCGGTGATTCTGCCCATTCTGCTTTTGCTGCTGCTGCTGCTGCTGGTGGTGGTGGTTCAGCCTCCCCTGCATCTGGTGATGGGCTTCCGAGAAGGCCTGGAGGAAGAGGGTGGGAGTATGGGATCCATGTGTAGGACTGAGTGCGGCGAGATGATTTATGAGTCGACTCAAAACTCAAAAGTATGGGATCCATGTGTAGGACTGAGTGCGGCGGAACGGGATGTCACGCCGCATGCGCCATGTGCAGCGAGCAGTGAGCAGCGCATGTCACATGACACACCTGATTCATATGGCACACATGACACATGACACTTACACATGACACATGACACATGACTCTTGACACATGACACATAACACATGACACATGACACATGAACCTTGACACATGACACATGACTCTTGACACATGACACATCTTGGTAGTAGAAGAGCGAATGGCGATAGTTGCCGGGCAGCAGCCCACCTGGCAGTAGAAGAGCGGGTGGCGGTAGTGCGTGGGGTTGGTGCGGCGCTGCTGGCTGCCGGACTGCTCCAAGCACGACTCGCGGAAGAAGAGGAGGCCTCCCGGGGGGAGAGCCAGGAGGATCACACGGGCCAGCTCAAGCACCTGAAAATGAGTGGGGAGTGGAGTGGAAGTGGCGAAACAAGAGGATGAGACAGGGTTGGCTGCCGTACTGCTGCACGCACAACACACAGAAGAAGAGCAAGCCACGGGGGGGGGGGGGGGGGGGGGGGGGGAGAGGACCACACAGGCCAGCTCAAGCACCTGCGATAGAGGGATACATTGGATAGCATACAAGGGACATGGGGTAGGGATGCAAGAGATGGGGGAAACATGGGATAGGAAAGCATAGGATAGGGATGCATGGGATAAGGATACAAGGGATAGGGAGACAATGGGTAGGGATACAAGGGGTAGGGATACAAGGGGTAGGGATACAAGGGCTAGGGATACAAGGGCACTGATCGTCTCAGCTTTGAAGACGTGTCAAACGATGACAGTACATGAGGTGCGTACCTCGGAGTCCGAGAGGTACATGAGGCGCGTACCTCGGAGTCCGAGAGGTACATGAGGTGCGTACCTCGGAGTCCGAGAGATACATGAGCAGCCAATTGGAGAACACCAGGTCAGGCGCCAGCCTAGTCAGGAGGGCGGCTGTCGTGGCATCTGCCACGTCAGCACAGACAAAGTCTACGTTGGGGTGCTTGTGTGCATGCGCTTGCTCATTCTGCCAGAGGGATGAGGGAATAGTGGGTGGGGGACGATGGGTTCAGGTAGACTGCCGCATTTAAATCAGTCAACATAGTCAAACACAGTCAACGACTAACTCAACACACATTCCTCAGTCCGGCAGATTCTTATTATTCAAGAGGTCATCGAGGTCAAGGAAAGTCAAGCCAGGTACACGCTCAAACAATGACATGGCTTGAGAGCAGATCAGCCAGACTGACCACAGAGAGCGCGTGGGGCAGGAAGTCAAGGGCAGTGAGCCACGTGGCCCTGCGTGCCAGGTCAGCAGTGAACCGGCCAATGCCCGCCCCCAGCTCCACCACCACCTTGGCACGTGGCACTGCTCCCATCGGCACCGCTCCCGTCGCCACTACTCCCGACGCCAATGTTCCCACCGGCAGTGCTCCCTGTGGTCCTTCTACCGGCGGCGCGGGCGCTGATATGGGCACTGGTGTGGTGGTACCATTCTGCCCCTCTGTGGGTGGCAGGGGCACCAGTGGCGGCACTGGTAGGGACAGAGGAGGCGCTGCCGTGATGCTGTCCATGATGGCAAGAATCTGAGGGGAGGCAGGGACGAGAGAGAGTGATGGATTGAGGGTAATCATAAATAAATATACATATATATATATATATATACACACATGTATATTGATGTATACATACACATTTTTATTTTTATTTTAAAGAAGAGAAAGACACGGTCGCTGACATACGATTGGCTGCCTTACCAGCCCTGACTTTGATTTGCTGAACCCTGGGCTCTTTTCCTCACCTCGGGGCGTTCAAGCGAGTCAAGCAGGTCAGCCTGGGCATCCAGCATCATGGAAGCCACCGACATCACAGCTGGCTCCTGCTCTCCTCCACCCTGGTCAACGCAGTCAACGCAGTCAACGCAGTCAGCGTGGTGAGAGTGGTTCGATTGGCCATTCCCGTCAGAAGATGCGCCATTCACTGCCATCTCCGCTATTCGTGGCTCAATAAAGACATTTACAGCCTTCTTTGTGCGAGTTTCAAGCTTCGTTTCAGGCCCTATCATGGCATTTTCGGCGATCTGCTTGGGATCTTGAATGCTGGTGATCTTGGCCGTGAAATCGTGGCCGTTCGTATGCTGCAGAGCGACGCTCTCCACGGTTGGATTGTCAGTTGAGGCTCCGTTTCCACTGCTGATCTCCCGCCAGTACTGCGCCTGCATGGCTCGCTCCACTGAAAGACAAGGCAGGAAGGTAGAGGAAGAAAGGAAAGAATATGTGTCAGGCCAGAGGATCTGACGATACTCAGCGGCGTTGCAGCGCTAGCGCATACTACGTAGTAGTAGCGAATAATCAAGAGGGTAACTGAGGAGGTTTTCATTCAGGGAGCCATACTTTTGAGAACTCGGGTCGAACGTTGTTGCGACTTCGCTCAGCGGTCGAACTACGAACTCGGCTGCGAGTGTTTGAAACTACTTAAACAGATGCCGGGTGCTATTTGGTGTGCTAACCGGAGTGGATCGTGATGCAATCGGCGTCAATATCGATTCTCGAGATCCACCTATTGCTGCTGATGGTGGTTGGCGTTTGTTGCAGCTGTTCCAGCAGCTGTTGCTGCTGGTGCTGGCAGAAGTGGAGGTGGTTCTTGTGACAGGCAGCCTGGCAGGGCGTTGGTTTCTAGGCTTGGAATTTACAAATGTCAGTGACGTGACATGCGCGATTCGAGCACAATCGCGGTTCGGAAATTCCGAGAAAGCCTTGAGCCATTGGGCGAAAGCCACTTGCCGTATTCGTTATTCACTTCATCGACACCAAACACAGTCTGCTCGCTCAATAAATCTACATAAATATTCAGGAACGCTTATCACCATCGAATGGTGATAGCAGATTTTTCCCGCCACGCAGCTCAAAATCTCGCCACTTGGTCCAGACTTTTGGGGACCTTCGTCCCACGTGGCATGCTTTCGCAACCAGAGATGGGCCCGTCGACCAATCTGCACTGAAAGTAATGCCAACGCAGCGAAGCACGTCACCCGCGTTTAGCTGCTTCGCCTCGAGATTCTCATCCTCGATACACGATTTGTGGAGATGGACCCAGAGCTGAATAGTGGAATTCTTGTTCAGTAAACGAATATGACGAACTGACAGTCTGGTCTGGTGCTAGGTAAAAGCATCCTCTCCCTTCTTCACTGCTACTCCAGTTCTTGGCCATCTTAGTTTCCTCCCTCTTCTCTTCCCTCATCACGCATCCACCGTCCATCATCTCGCCTCCATCTTCGCGTTTGCACCGTCCGATCCACCCTCACACCCTCTACACCCCATCCCCGCTAAGATGGCCTTCCTGAAGAACGCGATCCCCCTTGCGCGCCGAGCCCTGTCCTCCGCGGCAGGCTCGGCACAGCCTCGGAAGGTGGCGGTTCTGGGTGCTGGCGGCGGCATCGGGCAGCCTCTGAGCCTTCTGATGAAGACGAATCCGCTTGTAACGGATCTGTCGCTGTACGATGTGGCTGGTACTCCCGGCGTGACTGCTGACATCAGCCACATCTGCTCCAACGCCAAGGTTGGTAGACTAATAAATAGATCGGCAAGGCTGGACAGCTTATCCTAACTGCTTCCGAGATAGAAGATTTGTTTTGAGACGTATCTAACCAAATCTTCTAACACCTGGGGAGCTTCTCCTGACTGCTTCCTGTACATCTTTTTAAAGACGCGGCCTTTTAGCGTTTCCCACACTCGTTTTTTAAAGGCGCCTCAAAACTCTGCTGATTCAAAGAAAGAACCCTTCCATCCGAATGATCTCACCGATAGTTCCGAAGTGGAACTGATGGCAGAATTTCTAGATCGGATAGAGTAACCGCTCCCGGACCTATTCCGACACCCGAATGGTTATGCTGATCGCCTCAGCAGATACGTTACAACTTAGTACACCCTATCCCGCCTATTATCTTATCACGCTGTAACAGGCGAAGGGGTATATGGGCGCGGACGAGCTTGCCGGCGCGCTGGAGGGCTGCGATCTGGTGCTGATCCCCGCTGGCGTGCCACGTAAGCCGGGCATGACGCGGCAAGATCTCTTCAACATCAACGCCAGCATCGTCAAGGGGCTGTGCGAATCCATCTCCAAGAACTGCCCCACGGTAAGATCTAGGTGCATTTTGAGCCGTCCTGTAACTCGGTTAGATCTAGGTGCATTTTGAGCCGTCCTGTAACTCGGTAAGATCTAGGTGCATTTTGTGCGGTCCTGTAACTCGGTAAGATATAGGTGCATTTTGAGCCGCCTTAGAATTGGGTAAGTGTAATTTGAGCGAGTCAGTTGTAAGCGAGCATCGTGAAGGGGCTGTGCGAATCCATCTCCAAGAGCTGCCCCACGGTAAGACCTAGAAGTTGCCTTACCGCTCGGCAAGATCTAGGTGTGGTTCTTGCGACTCGAAAGTAATCCAGCACCGTGAACAGCCTGTGCGAAGCTAACTCCAAGCACTGCCCCGCGGTTGAATCAACCGGGTTGATGATGATGATTCAGGTCAGGGGTCCACTTTCCCACGCTTCCCTGTTACGCTGTTACCGTTATACAGGCGGCCGTGGGCATGATCAGCAACCCCGTGAACTCCACCGTGCCTCGTCATGATTCCCGTATCTTTGTTACCGCGTTATCTTACGTTGTTACCGTGTTACCTCACGTTGTTACCGTGTTACCCCGTGACAGGCGGCCGTGGGCATGATCAGCAACCCCGTGAACTCCACGGTGCCCATCGCGTCGGAGGTGTTCAAGAAGGCCGGCACGTACGACCCCAAGAAGCTCTTCGGCATCACCACGCTCGACATCGTGCGCGCGAGGACGTTCTACGCCGAGGCCAAGGGGCTCAACGCGGAGGGTAAGCCATGCCTCAAAAAGAGGCCAAGGGGCTCAACGCGGAGGGTAAGCCATGCCTCAAAAAGAGGCCAAGGGGCTCAACGCGGAGGGTAAGCCATGCCTCAAAAAGAGGCCAAGGGGCTCAACGCGGAGGGTAAGCCATGCCTCAAAAAGAGGCCAAGGGGCTCAACGCGGAGGGTAGGGGGAATGAACTGCTAGGGTGGGCTGGTTGGAGTAGCCGTAGTACTGTTTTTGAGGCGCCTCAAAAATCGTTTTTGAGGCGCCTCAAAAAGCGGAGGGTAGGGGGAATGAACTGCTAGGGTGGGCTGGTTGGAGTAGCCGTAGTACTGTAGCAGACCCCAAGAAGCTCTTCGGCATCACCTCACCGCGCTTGATATCGTCCCGCGCGCACCTGTGAACGCAGAGGGTAGGACAGGTGGAAAACAACGCGCAGGGTAGATTATGAAGGATTAAGGATGAAGGATGAACGCCGGAGGTTGGGGGAGTGTTGTGGTCTGCGCATGTTGTGCTCACTGACTCGCCTACCTGCCAAACCTTTCCTTCTGCTCGGGGGTTGGGTTGGGGGAGTGATGTTGTCTGTACATGCTGTGCGCACTGACTTACCTGCCAAACCTATCCTTTTGAGTCGACTCTAAAGTCAGCTCGGGGGTTGGCGTGGGGAATTGTTGTGGTCTGTGCATGTTGTTGTGCGCACTGGCTTACCTGCCAAGCCTATCCCTGGCCGTCTGTGCGTGTGGGCGCAGATGTGAGCATCCCCGTGGTGGGGGGGCACGCGGGAACCACCATCATCCCACTGTTCTCCCAGGTCAGTCCTTCATGTCGGCCTCACAGGTCAGTCCTTCGTGTCGGCCTCACATTCTGTCTCTTCTGCGGGCTCACATTCTGTCTCTTCTGCGGGCTCACATTCTGTCTCTTCTGCGGGCTCACATTCTGTCACTTTCGCGGGCTCACTTCTGTGGGCTCACATTCTGTCTCTTCTGCGGGCTCACTTCTGCGGGCTCGCTTGCCTCCACTTCCCATCTTCACTAGCCTCCACGTGCTCAGCTCTTCGTTCTCCTTAACTGTTTCGAACCGTTCCGAACCGTCCTTCCACCCTCATGTCAGGCGACGCCCCTGGTGGAGCTGTCGGACGAGGAGCGGGAGCAGTTGACCAAGAGGACTCAGGACGGCGGCACTGAGGTGGTGCAGGCCAAGGCGGGCAAGGGCTCCGCCACCCTCTCCATGGCGTGAGTGGCTGTAGTGTCTTCTTGGGACACCTAGAAACCTGCGGTGGTGCCGGCCAAGGCGGGCAAGGGCTCCGCCACCCTCTCCATGGCGTGAGTGCTTGAGACACTCTCGTGCGCCCTTGTGACATGTACATATCATCGCGTAATGAGTCGATTTTTGAGTCGACTCAAAAATCGACTCATTACACGCGCCCTTGTGACATGTACACATCATTGCATGGTCGGCAGCACGGAGGTGGTGCAGGCCAAGGCGGGTAAGGGCTCCGCGACTCTCTCCATGGCGTGAGTGCTCGAAAACCCTTTTATGAGGAGTTAACAACTCCATGGCGAGTTATTGTTGCCTCCTCTGTGTTCTGTTCCCACGCGTTTCCCGCCCACTCTCTTCTTTTTTTGAGGCGCCTCAAAAATACTCTCTTATTTTTTCCCCATGTTTTCTTCCTCACGTGTCCCCCATCCCCCCCCCATCCCCCCCTCTCCCCTCCCCTCATTCCCCGTGCTCTCCTCTCTCTTTCTCGTCCCTCCCACGACCAGCTATGCAGCAGCCGTGTTCGCTTACTCGCTGCTCGCTGTGCTCGCCCATGAACACACACCTCGCCTGATAGGCAGCCTATCAGGCTGTACTCGCTGTAATTTTAAGGCGCCTCAAAAATAGACTCCTCACCCATGAACGTAGGTGCCATGAACGGCGCTCCTGACAATGTTGAGTGCACCCCATGTTGACGCCTTGCTCCCCTCCCCTCTCCCCTCCCCGTGCTCCTCTCCTCTCTCTCCTTTCTCCCATCTCTCTCCTCTCTCCCATCTCTCTCCTCTCTCCCATCTCCCTCTCTCCCATCTCTCTCCTCTCTCCCATCTCTCTCCTCTCTCCCATCTCTCTCCTCTCTCCCATCTCTCTCCTCTCTCCCATCTCTCTCCTCTCTCCCATCTCTCTCCTCTCTCCCATCTCTCTCCTCTCTCCCATCTCTCTCCTCTCTCCCATCTCTCTCCTCTCTCCCATCTCTCTCCTCTCTCCCATCTCTCTCCTCTCTCCCATCTCTCTCCTCTCTCCCATCTCTCTCCTCTCTCCCATCTCTCTCCTCTCTCCCATCTCTCCCTCCCACCAGCAGCTATCCAGCAGCTGTGTTCTCTGACTCGCTGCTTAAAGCCACGAACAGCGTGCCCCATGGGGTCAAGTGCGCCTACGTGGAGTCGTTGGGATGTGCACCCGTGTTAATTCCTCCTCACTCGCCCCTCCCTTTTCTCCTCCCCACCACCGCCAGATACGCAGCAGCAGTGTTCGCTGACTCGCTGCTCAAGGCCATGAACGGCGCCCCCAACGTCGTTGAGTGCACATACGTGGAGTCGACGCTCACCGAGGCCCGGTTCTTTGCCTCCAAGGTTTGTTCTTTAGGTTGGGTTGCGCTTTTGAGTCAGATCAAAAGCGGATGCGAGGTGGGCTTGGAGTCAGTCAGAGGCTGGCTGGTGGGTGATTTGGGGGGGAGATTCTCCCTCTGGGCAACCTCATTCTCTGCAAGGAGAGGGTTGATAACCTCGTTTTAGGCGTCTCAGAAGGAAATTATCAACCCACGAAAGGCTGGCTGGTGAGTGATTTGGGGGGTTGGGGGGGGGTTCTGGGCAACCTTCTGGGCAACATCATTCTCTGCAAGGAGGAGGCCATTCTGTGGGCCCCTGAACCATGCACCAGGTTGTAACCTCGGTATCTCTTACCTGCAGCTCTCTCCCATGCCTGCTCTTTCTCCCCCCCCTCCCTCCCTCTCCCCTCTGGTGCGTCTGGGCCCCAGTGGAGCCGGGGGAGATTCTCCCTCTGGGCAACCTCGTCTCAACAAGAAGGCCATTCAGCGGGTGCCTCCTACAGTGCACTAACCCCCACTCATATTTCTTCCCTCCCCCCCTTCGTGTGCCCCTGTCCCCTCCGGTGCGTCTGGGCCCCAGTGGAGCGGAGGAGATTCTTCCCTTGGGCAACCTCATCCCGTATGAGGACGAGGAGAAGGCCATTCAGCTGGGTCCTACAGTGCGCCAACACTCTGTCTGATAATCTGTCCCCCCCCCCCCACTTCATGTGCCCCTCTCCCCTCCTCAGGTGCGTCTGGGTCCCAGTGGGGCAGAGGAGATTCTGCCTCTGGGCAACCTCATCCCCTGCGAGGAGGCGGCCATTCTCTGGACTCCTGAGTTGCCCACCAAGTCTTTTCATCTCATCTTTCGTTGCTGTCTCTATCTGCCCTCTTTCCTATGCGTCTCTCTCTCAGGTGCGTCTGGGCCCCAGTGGAGCGGAGGAGATTCTTCCCATGGGCAGGCAACCTCGTCGCGTAGGAGAAGAGGGCCACGTAGTGGGTTCCTCCCACGGTGCTCTAACCCTCAATCATTGTTCTCCTCTCTCCTCCCCCTTTTGTGTGCCCCTCTCCCCTCCCCAGGTGCGTCTGGGCCCCAGTGGAGCGGAGGAGATCCTTCCCTTGGGCAACCTCATCCCGTACGAGGAGAAGGCCATCCAGCGCGCGCTGCCTGAGCTCATGGAGTCCATCCAGGCTGGCGTTGACTTTGTCAAGAACGCCTAGACAGTAGATACTTGGTCTTGGGCCCTTGGCCAACCCTGAATGAATTGACTCACTTGAGTTGATATAATGAAGACTGCCTGAGCTCATTGAGTCCATCCAGGCTGGTGTTTGACTAGTTAAGACCACATAGACAGTAGTCAACTGGATTGGCTTTGACTTCATGATGCGTGACTTGTCTTGTTGATTTGTTCCGGGTCAATCTAATGAAGACACAACTGGAGGACACTACCTAGCATGAGCAACAGATTTTGATTTGGTGCCGTATTTTGTTCTGTGCTGTAATCTGAGCCAAGTCATCTACGCTGATATGGCTAGCATTGACTGCTCAGCACACCTGCAGAGAGCACAGAGAGTTTGAATGATGACTTGTTGCTAGACATTCGGACTACAGGACCACCGTAAGATGGATCGAAGAGAATGGAGTCTTTCATGAGCAGATCTGGATTCACTCTGTTTCAACAGTGAAAGTTTTTCGTCAGGTGATTTACTTTTTACTCCCATTCGAAAGACACGACACCATATAAGGTGTGTGAGTGATACAAGTTCCACAATGTGAAACCACAACACAAAATACGTAAGTACACGCAATTGTCATTATCTATAAGTGGCATGGTGCCACAACCAGCAAGCCAGGTTATCTATCCAGGGAGGGGAGGGAAGCCATACTTCCTCATACCTGCCTATGCTCCCCTGAGCATGTCACACATGCTCATGACAGGACCCACCATTGCAACTACCATACATGCCTTGGTATGAAGTGTAAACAAAATTCAGGCGAGTCGAGTCAAAAACATGCTCTTAAAGCAGCACCCACTGCTGCTGCATCCTTGTCTTACCAGTGGCTGCCTGCTGCTTTGCTAGGAGCTGCTTTGCATGTAGGTGACTTGAAAGGAAGTGGAGGGGGGTTGGAGGAGGGGGGGGGGAGGGGAGACTACGCCGTGGCACGGAAGGGGGTGCCTCTTGAGCCGGCTCAAAAACCATTCAGTTGAGACCATTCAGCTCAAAAACCATTTAGTTGCTCTCTGCTGCTTTGCTGGGAACGCGCTTGGAGTTGACTTGAGAGGAGGAGGGCGGAGGGGAGAAGGGCGAGGAGGGGGCGGAGCGCAGGGGGACGGGTTTGTCACGCTTCTTGAAGGCGCGCTTCTTGGCTGGGTCCACCGCCTTGCCCTCAGTGAACCCGCCTATGGTGCGAAACTTGGCCACGCGCTGGCTGATCACCTCATCTTGGTCCAGCTTCAGCAGCTCCTGCAAGGGGTGAGGGAAAAGGGGTTGAGAGACGGGGGAGTTGAGGGGCACGGGGGTTTAAGACGAGGGGGTTTATGGAGAGCGGAGAGTGTTGGCCGTTCAGTGCTGAACCGCCTACTCCTCCTGCAGGGATGTCAGCGAGCTGTTGCAGCCGATAGCTGATTTTAAGTCGACTAAAAAATCACCTGCAGGTGTGTCAGTGAGTGGTTGCAGCCCGTCCGGCCCGGCTTTTGAGTCGACTGAAAAGTGTTGGCCATCCACATCTGTACCCGCCTACTCCCCCTGCAGCCATGTAAGTGAGCTATTGCAGTCCGATTGCCCTGGACAGGCGCCAATATTCCGTGCATCGGGATGGCATTGGCTCAAGCTCACATTCCACTGCTCCCGTTCCTCACCTTCATGTTGGCAAGAATGGCAGATCGAATGGCAAGCGATGTCTTCACGGGGTCGGCATGGGCTCCCCCTAGCGGCTCCTGAAGCAATCAGACGGGTGGGAGAGGGGGGGCAGGGGGGGCCGGGGGGGAGGGGGGGGGAGAGTACAGTACTTTAGAGGACGTCAAACGTGTGCACAGGGTGAGCATGCACTCTGCCTAGCGGCTCCTGGAGGGTGCAGATGGAAGGACGAGCAGGCAGATGGGGCAAGGGGGCGGGAGGAAAGAGGGTACAGGGGAGGTGAAGAAGCAGGGATGGTGGTAAGAGAATCAATGAGGGTGGAACCGAGTATTTTGAGTCGACTCAAAATACAAGATGACGGTAAGAGAATCAATAAGGGTGGAACCCAGTAAAGGGAAGGCGACAGCAACACAAGAAAGCTGGGAAGGAAAGGGAGCCTATTTTTGAGGCGCCTCAAAAATGGAGGTGAAGAAACAGGGATGGGAAGGGATGGCGGTAAGAGAATCAATCAGGGTGGGACCGAGCAAAAGGACGGCGACAGCAAAACAAGAAAGGTGGGAAGGAAAAGTGTGGAGGGGTGAGGGCACGGTTGGGAGGAGGAGTGAGGGCACGGTTGGGAGGAGGAGTGAGGGCACGGTTGGGAGGAGGAGTGAGGGCACGGTTGGGAGGAGGAGTGAGGGCACGGTTGGGAGGAGAGGTGAGGGCACGGTTGGGAGGAGAGACGGCTGACCGGAATGACTTCATCCACCACGTTGAGCTGCTGCAGCTCGTTCGCCGTGATTCTGAGCGCGTCCGTGGCCTGAGAATCCAGGGGGGATTCGCAGGAGAATTGAAAGGGAGATTGAGAGGGAGATTGAGAGGGAGATTCAGGCACAATTCAAGTGGAGATTCCGGCGAGATTCAGGGAAGATTCAAAGGTAGATTCGAAGGGAGATTCCGAGAGATTCCGGGAAATCCAGGGAAGATTCGACTAGAGATTCAGTGAAGATTTGAAGGTAGATTCGGAGGGAGATTCCGAGAGATTCAGGGAAGCACGTGCAAGACGGGTGTGAGGAGCCTTAAAACGAGTTTCAGGAAACAAGAAGCGTGAACAGGTTGGGGGGAGCTATAGCAACAGATGCAGTACAAGGAAGTACCAAAATACGACAAAAAATGAGAATAGAGGCTACGCCAAGTTGCCAGGCGGCACTTTTCTGACCTATCTCTGCACTACCCCGTGTCTCCTGCCTTACCCGTGTCTCCTACCTTACCCCGTGTCTCCTGCCTTACCCCACGTGACCGTTCTCCATGCCTTACCTTGGGAGCGGCCGCAGCAGTCTTCCACAGAATGGCAGCGCAGGCCTCGGGGCTGGGGAAGACACACAGACAGGCGCACACAGCGCGAGGTGGATGGGCGGATGGGCGGGAGGATCGGTGGGTGGGGAGGTGGGGGGGGGGGGGAGATCGCAAAAATGAGGTGTGACATTGGAAAAGGTAGCTGGGGTTATTTGATACGGAGTTACATTTTCTAAAGTTTTTGCGAACTGGACGGTCTACTCGTAAGTCCGGACCCCTCTGAGCACTTCACTCCACACACGCCGACCAGCACAAGCAGTCCTTTCTGGCCTTAATGCCCTTCAGTCGCACCTGACTGGTCACCTGATGACTCACCTGGCGACATAGTAGACACCGTTTTCAAGCACGGGCAGCTTATTGCAGCAGCCTATAGCGAGAAAGCTCATAAACCGCACTTGACCACTCACCTGACGAGGTACCCTACCTACCGCCTCACCTGGCGACATAGTAGACGGCGTTCTCGAGCATGAGCATCTTATTGCAGCAGCCTATAGCGAGGGCGCCGCCAGAGCCGCCCTCTCCGATGACAACTGAGATGGTGGGCACCTTGAGCCCGAACATCTCCCTCAAGTTGTGGGCGATGGCCTCGCCCTGTGTGGGAGGGGGCAAGGGGGGAGGGGAAAGGGAGGGGGGCGGGCATGCGGAAACATGTGGGCGCGTGGAGTTCATAGGTTGTGGAAAGCCGGGCACAGGGAAAGGCACCTTGAGCCGGAACATCTCCAGCAGCCTGTGGCGATGGCCTCGCCCTGTGTGGGAGCAAGAGGGTGGATGCATGGAAGGAATACGGTTCTCAGGCGCTCGAGTGTGTAATGAGTCGATTTTTTAGTCGACTCAAAAATCGTTCTCAGGCGCTCCCCAAACAGCGCGATGGTGGACACCTTGAGGCCGACCATCGCCCGCAGGTTGTGCGTGCGCGATGGCGGCGCCCTGCGCGGGAGGGAACATGTGGGAAACACATGGGCACAAGAATGCACGGGCATGGGGCATGGACGGGAAGCGTGGGTGAGTTTTGAGTCGCCTCAAAGATCAATGTTGTGCGCGATGGCGGTACCCTGCGCGGGAACATGCGGGAAACATGCGGATGCATGGGCATGGACGGGAAGCGAGGGTGTTGTTTTCGGCGCCTCAACACGTGGTGGACACCTTGGGGCCGAACATCTCCCGCAGGTTGTGTGGGCTACGCCGTCTCTCTGTGTGGGGGGGGCGTGGGAAGAAACATGCGGGTGCACGTGCATGGGCGGGAATGGGCGGGAAGTGTACAAGTTTCAAGCCACCTGAAACCGACGAGATGGTGGGCACCTTGTGCGCCATGGCCTGCCCTTGCTGTAGGTTATGATTGCGTTTTGAGTCGACTCAAAAGTCACCTACGCCATGGCCTGTCCTTGCTGTAGGTTATGATTGAGAATTCTAGCACCCACCTCCCACTGCACACCCACCCTCCCTCCCTCCCGTCGAGAACCCACCTGCCCGAGCTCCTAGGCCTGGATGCCAGCATATGCGCCCGGGGTGTCGATGAACATGACGATGGGAGCGCCACCTCCCAATGTTTAATGAGCATGTCAATGAGAGCACCCATCCATCCACCGTCCATCACCCACCCATGTCATCCCCCCCTCAAAGCACGCACCTGCCCGAGCTCCTCGGCCTGGATGCCAGCATATGCGCCCGGGGTGTCGATGAACATGACGATGGGGAAGCCGAAGTGCTCTGCATGCCGCATCAGACGCAACGCCTTGCGGTATCTGGCGGGGGGGGGAGGAAGGGGAAGAGAGAAGGGTGGGGGGGGGGGGAGAGAGGAAACGGGTGGAGAGGGGGAGAGGAGAAGGATTAAAAAAGGTAGCAGGTTTTAGTGAAGTGCGCTCTTGACTGACAGTGTGCTGGAGGCATAAGTTGAAGCACGAAAATCAAGCTTCGGCTGCTTACTCATTGACTGACTCACTGGGAGACAGCATGCTGTTGTACGCCTTTTGGTCAACAGAAACGTTGCCTCACTCACTCCCTCATTCGCTCACCCACTCCCTCACTCGCTCACCCACTCCCTCACTCACTTGCTCACTCACTCCCTCACTCACTCGCTCACCCACTCCCTCTCTCCTCGCTCACCCGTTGGGCGACGGCATGCCGAAGTTGCGGTAGATGTTTTCGTTGGTGTTGCGGCCCTTCTGGTGCCCCATGAACATGAAGCTCATGCCGTCGATGCGCCCCAGCCCGCACACCAGCGCCGGGTCGTCGTACCCGCCGCGGTCGCCGTGCAGCTCCACCCACTGCGTGGGGGTGAGCAAGGGAAGGGGACATAACCGGGAGGGAAGATAAGGGGGGGAAGGGGAGATAAGCAGCAAGGACGCAGGTCAACTTCCGCTTAGAGTCTATTTATGAGGCGCCTCAAAAATGGACTCCTCGCGACGGGGAAGAAGCCGGAAGGGGTCAGAAGCGCAGGACGCAGGTCAACTTCCGCTTAGCGAGGGTGCGGCATCTGACCCTCTGATTCCTTTCAAAAAGACCGGGCAAGTTCTGGACCGGGTAAGTGGCGTGAGTTTGGTGAAGGTGAACGATCGCGACTGGGTGACGTGAAAGTGTGGACTACAGTGACGCGAACGTAAAAGTGTGGACTACAGTGGCGCGAACGTAAAAGTGTGGACTACAGTGACGCTGTTCGGTTGCTTGCAGATAACCTTATACGTTACCTTATCTGTGATGTTCAGTTCAGCACGTGGTCGAGGAGCGTCGGAAGGGTTGGGATGGCTTTAGAGGCGCCTCAAGGGTGGCAGGCAGGACGTTACCTTATCTGTGATGTTGAGCACGTGGTCGAGGAACGTCGGACGGTTGGGATGGCGCGCCACGCCCAGCCGTTGCACCGGAGTTAGACGCAAGTAGATGTCGCGTTTCAGCTGCCACGTGGCAGGATCCGCAAGCATGTACATGGAAAAATATTAAAAAGAAAAAGAAGAAGAAGACGGGAGAAAATAAAAAAAACTGATGATACTGCAAGAGGACTGTAAGTTATATCGCTCTAAGAGACTGCACTCCTATAGCAGTCCTCTCTGAGCTCGCACGGTCGTCTTCCTCCCCCCCACTGTAGCCGTAAGCTCACCTGGTCGTATTTCTCCTGCAGCTCGTGAATCTGCTCGGTGAAATCCATTCCCGTTCTCGTCGCCAGATCACGGACCTGCGAACACGAACCACCAGAACCGCCGAGCACAGGGCAAGGCAAGCACAGGACTGGAAGAGTGCTTGAGAAGATGCAAGGCTACATTGCTTTCACTGGGTGAATCTGCTCCGTGAAATCCATTCCCGTTCTTGTCGCCAGATCACGGACCTGCAAACCAGAACGCACGGCCCCGAGCACGAGACGAGAATGCTTCACACTTGCAAGACGACATAGCTCCCACTATGCAGCTCAAAGTCGAGACAACCTCGTAGGCACTGACGTATTCTTGTACATGTTGTCCTGAGGGCGAGAACGCGTGAAAAAAACGGGTGCCAAAGCGTCGAATGCGATGGCACTAGGTGGTCCGATGCGATGCCATGCGACGCGATGGGATGCGATGCGTGTCATGCGATGCGTGCGTGTCATGCGATGCGGTGTCTGACCTCTTTGACCCGCTTCTCCAGGTCCTCGAGCGGCCGTTCAAACGGCAGCATCATGGGCTTTCCCTTCTTCCCCGGAGTCTCCTTGCCCTTGGAGAAGAACGCCAGGACGCCCTTCTCCTCCGCGTGGTACTTGTCAGGCCAGGAGTGCGTTGCGATGCGATGCGATGTCAAGCGACGTCATGCGACGTCATGCGATGCCATGCGATGCCATGCGATGTCATGCGATTTCATGCGATGCGATGCGGTGTCTGACCTCTTTGATCCGCTTCTCCAGGTCCTCGAGCGGCCGTTCAAACGGCAGCATCATGGGCTTCCCCTTCTTCCCTGGAGTCTCCTTGCTCTTGGAGAAGAACGCCAGGAAGCCCTTCTCCTCCGCGTGGTACTTGTCAGGCCACGGGTAGTCCGGATCCATCGGCGCTCGCTTCGTTTTCCGTACTTTGTTACATTCTACTGTCAGTCTCCGGGAAGTTCCATAGGGATTAGCCTGTCGGCCGGACTTGGCTTGCGGAAAGCAGACTGAGGATGGTCTCTTGTGGAGCGATTCGCCTAGAGTCTCTCCGGATAAGCAGCGGATGCCAGAAATCTTCTGGCTCATAAGATTCCGCGTCGGAGCGCACGCCGCCATGGCTTCCATTGTCCCTGTGCTAGATTATAGGCTAATGTAACAACACTGAAGACAGCTAAGAGACTCGAAATACAAGACGTGGAGGCGCCTGTTTCGGACTCACTCTTCTCGACTACTCTCGTAAACCGAATCAACTGCAGATACCAAGTGTCAGTTCAGTGACGCACCCAAGAGCGCAGACACCTAGCGGCGGAGGGAATCTCGAGAAAAGTGGATTGAAGAAATGAGGAGAACAACCCGTGATTTGGGGAGGTCAAGGGGAATGCCAAATGGGATGTTGGAGAGCAGAGCAGAGCTGGAGATATCGAGGTTGGGTTTGGGGGGAAGAATTGGAGTTCACGAACTGAACGACGGAGGCGAATCTAACGAGATGCGTGGCGACGTAAACGATGGCATGAACAGCGAAGCTCGACGACGAAGTGAGATTGTAACGTCTGCAGAGATTGCCTTGGCACGCGTAAGAGGCGTCAAATATTCGCCGTACTGATTAAGGGGCATCGTCGCCGTCCGTTTGGTCCTCGAACTTCTCTCACCTTGCTGAGTCATCGGATAGCTCGTGTGACGACGCGGAAAACCTGACCTTGCCAGCGTGCGAATCCTGAGAGCGAAGCATGACACGCGGCAGTCCAAAAGTGCGGCGTTCGAGGGGAAAAAGATCTGGCAGAGATTGTGTGCCAGATTGGAAAGGGTGCTGTAGTGAGTTTTGCTTCCAAACCCGGTATAATCCTAAAAGCGCCAGTAGTGTAATCAGGAAATGGCATTCAGTAAACACAAAATCGTATTAGGAGTTCACAAAATCGTAAGAGGGGGGGCCTGCTCTTTTAGCTTCTTGTGGCAGACGAGGTTGGTTTGGCGTTACACCTACAACGCTAGCAGGTCTTCTTAAATCGGAGATAAGGGTTGTCGGTCAAAATAGTCGCATGCGCTGTTATTTCCCACACATATTTCTATTATCTTTGGGCGGCTGAACGACGCTAGACCCTATCCCTGCGCCGTTGACTTTCGCTTTCTTCTCGTCACAAGTTCAGTGCGCCGCTATCGACACGCCAAGTCCGTCCACTGAATGGCGGAAGAAGACACAGCGCGGCCGCAAGAAGAAGTGAGGGGGAGCGCACAGCAGGATGCGAACATGCAGGGGGGAACTCGCGCGCAGGGAGCAGCGGGTGCGCCGGGGGAAGCGCGCGTGCAGGGGGAAGTTGGGGGAGCGGAGCTGATGGAAACCACAGTTGCGCCCAAGCAGGGACTCTCGCTTCTGCTGACGTCAGCGGACCTTATCAGTCAAGGAGCAGAAGCCGTAAGCCTACCCATTATACTTCGCCTCGGTCTAAAAGAGCGGGGCCCCCCTCTCCCCCAAAACAAACCCCCCCCCCCCCCCCCCCCCCCCCCCCCCCCTCTCTCTCTCCCCCCTCCCCCACAAACAACCCCCTTCCAACACCCCACCTTACCCCCCCGCCTCTCTCCTCCCTGCTTTTTCCCTCCTGTCTTCACAGCGTGTGTTTGCAGCAACCTTCTGCGGCCGGCCAGCCATACTGAAGCAGCGGTTCGAGAAGAAGTACCGCCACCCCGTGCTGGACGCCAGGCTGACGGCCAAGCGCCTGCACGCTGTGAGTACTGTAGCGTGTGTGGGCTGCACATGCTGTATGTGCTGGCTGCAGTGGTGTGGGGTTCCAGGTTTGAGAAGAAGCACCGCCACACCGAGCATGCAGCTGTTTGGCTGTAAGTAGTGTCCGTGCTGATTCCCCTTGCACGCTCGCTACGTGCAGTTGTATTTCGAGTCGACTCAAAATACAGCGTGCAGCTGTTTGGCTGTAAGTAGTGTCCGTGATGTTTCCCCTTGCGCGCTCGCTGCGTCCTGCTCGGCGCTCGCTCCCTGCCTCTCCCCACTCCTCCTCGCCCTATGTCTTTTGAGTCGACTCAAAAGTCACCTCGCCCTATGTCTTTTGAGTCGACTCAAAAGTCACCTCGCCCTATGTCTTTTGAGTCGACTCAAAAGTCACCTCGCCCTATGTCTTTTGAGTCGACTCAAAAGTCACCTCGCCCTATGTCTTTTGAGTCGACTCAAAAGTCACCTCGCCCTATGTCTTTTGAGTCGACTCAAAAGTCACCTCGCCCTATGTCTTTTGAGTCGACTCAAAAGTCACCTCGCCCTATGTCTTTTGAGTCGACTCAAAAGTCACCTCGCCCTATGTCTTTTGAGTCGACTCAAAAGTCACCTCGCCCTATGTCTTTTGAGTCGACTCAAAAGTCACCTCGCCCTATGTCTTTTGAGTCGACTCAAAAGTCACCTCGCCCTATGTCTTTTGAGTCGACTCAAAAGTCACCTCGCCCTATGTCTTAACCCCTACTTTTGCCATCCCTGTCTCTCCCCTACTTTTGCCATCCCTGCCTCTCCCTCAACTCAACTCAACTCGACTCCAGGAGGCCAGAAGCATGGTACGGGCAGCACGTTTAGGGGTGTTGGTGCCGGTGCTGTACGGTGTGGAGGAGGGGGAACGATGCATTGTGATGCAGCGAGTGGTGGGGAGGAGTGTCAAGCACCTCCTCCTCTCGCTCGCCCCCCCGCAAAGCACAGGCACAGGCACAGGCAGCAGTAGTGGTGTGAGTATACATCCTCGTGTGGCGGAGGTGGCGGCATGGATGGGTGAGGCCATAGCGAAGCTGCACGATGGCGGCATGGTGCACGGCGACCTCACCACCTCCAACATGCTGCTCTCCCCTGCCCCTGCTGGCTTGAAATTGGCCGAAGCATCAGCAGCAACAGCAACAGCACCAACAGCAGAGGCAGCAGCAGCAGCAGCAGCTGAGGCACCTGGTGCAGCGAGGGAGCGACTGGTGCTGATAGACTTTGGGCTCAGCTTCAACTCGACTATTGCGGAGGATAAAGCCGTGGACCTCTACGTGCTCGAGAGGGCGCTCATCTCGCTGCACTCCAGCAATGGAGACATTGTGAGTCGCGGGGAAACTATTTTTGAGGCGCCTAAAAAATAGACTCCTCCAGCAATGGAGACATTGTGAGTGGGGGGGAAACAGGGATATGCCAACCAAGTCTTGAGGGAATGGGGGTACCCATTCTGCACCCAGTCTTTCTGCGTAACAAGGGGGTGCAGATGGGTACTGGGGAGCCAGGTCTTTCTGCCTTTCTCTCCAGTCCCGTCTCCTTCCCCATCTCTCGATATGGTTAAGCCTGCAAACAAATATCACTGGTTTCGGATTCGTATTCGGTATTCGACAAATGTAAAATACAAAACGAATCTGACATCCTGAAGCTATTCGACAGTATTCAACACTCAAATATTCGCAAGTTCCGAATATTCGACACTCAAATATTCGATATTCGGGAAAATATTTGTATTCGTGTGAGTCCACCATATATCTCCCGGACTCCCCTTTCCTCTTAAAATCGGCAGCGCAGTATAAGCGAAATCGGAGAAATCTGAAGGTCGCGCTATTGGCTGATTGCGGCCTCCATAAAACCAATCAATCGTGGACAAAAACGAAAACAGGATTCTTGAGCATGACATGTTCTTCCATAAATAACCTGCCAGAATCACAGCTACTTCGACAATTTGCCAGGAGTGGAAGTGATTGGGGAGGGGGGTAATAGACTATCAAGGTTAGAGGGGCTATTTCTATCTCGGTCTTCGGTGGGAAGCCCTAGAAGTCACTCGAAACCCTGTTCTGACCACCTATTCGTATTCGATTCTGTATTCGTTGTCAAACACAATATTCGGACCGTATTTGTATTCGAATAGGAAGTGGTATTCGATCAAATACAAAAACCCACAAGTATTCGACAAATACTATTTTTTTCCTGGTTTGTCTCAAAATCCTGACTTGTTTTCGCCTTTCTCTTTCTGGGTGTAACCTTGTGTGGTAACCAGATGTCTGAAGTGCTCACATCGTATCGCCACCACTCGCGGTTTTGGAGCGCCACACTAAACAAACTGGGACAAGGTGAGCCGACCCAAAAGGTGAGCAGAGACGACAGAAACTGGAGCACCACAGGCATTCGAGTCGACTCAAAAGGTGAGGAGAAGATTGCATTTGAGTCGACTCAAAAGGTGAGGAGATTATTGCGTTCCTTTCAGTGCCTAGTGCCCATCGTCATGCTGTTGCTGATGCAATACTGCGAGGCTTCTGGCGTGCCATGCTTGTTAATGTGCGATGCATGGTGTGCCGTTCTTCTTGTGCCGTGCTGCACACTTTCTCTCTCCCTACTCGCTGTAATTCCCATATGGACGTGTTGTGTACTACCACTTCTGAATGTACTATTGCTGCATCTCCTCCACCCATGTCTTTTCTGTTTGAACATTTTCCCCATGCAGTACGACTGCGTGGGAGGAAACGGGCCATGGTTGGGTGAACGTCAGTTCGTATGCACCGTGCATATTCACAATAGAGATTCCAGGCAGGTCAAGAAGCGTAATGGCTCACTCACTGCTTCATTGCACCAGAAATGTATCTATCAGGGCTCCAATAAAGTGCAGCATGCCATACGTTGGAAGGTGAATTCGTTTGAAGTGGGTATGAGACAGTGCACTTCCCACAAATTTCAATCTCATGTTTTGTTGCTAGGCTTAAAAGCTGGCTTAAATTTGTAGAGAATAATGGCATCATACTACGACGGTGATGGAGGGCTTGATTGTAGGGTAGGGTTCTTTAGAGGAATTTTACTAAGAAATCATTCATCATATAATCGGAGTATTCTTGTAAATTGTCCAAGCTTGTGGACATGTCAGCCGAACCGCACACGCAACCTGCTTACAGCGCGTACAACCGGCTGGCTTGGATTATAGAATGCGAGGCTGAGAAATAAGAGGAAACCCATTTCCATGGCATACGCCCGTATTGACCAGATTTTGCCACGCCTGTTTTCGTAAGTAGAAGTTTGATAATTTTATATGCGATCCAGTGTCGAAGCCGCTCTCGAGTCATGCTAGGCCACGTGGCAGCAAGACAGCGGGAGGTGGTCGGAGCCGCGCATCTCGTCGCACCAGCCACGGCCGCCGCCGTTGCGCTCCTGCGACATACCCAGCGGCTATCATCCCCTTCCTCGCCGTTCATCGCGCCGCGAGAAGCGGCGCCTCTTACTCCGTCAGCCGCTCCACTCCGCGTTGTGTCTTTCGGGGCATCCGCATCCGCCATTTTTGAATCGAGCGCGATTGACGGCGCGATCGACGGAGCGCTTAGGAGATTCTTTTCGAGTTTGACTCCGAGACGCGCTCTTTCTCCTCGCATCTCCCATCACGCACCTGCCTCCACGTCATCATCCACGTCATTCTCGCCGCTGATTGGTCCCAGCAGCCGGAACTTCCACCGTGGAATCACCACCGCTCGCAACGGCTGGGGCTTTGGATCCGACGACACGTGGCAGAATCTGGGAGCCTCCTCATCCTCGCTGACCAATTGGGGCGTGCGGATCGTCCCCGAGAAAAGCGCTTACGTTATAGAGCGATTCGGGAAATACTACAAGACCCTAGGTTCAGGCATCCACCTCTTAATTCCGTTAGTAGACCGGATCGCGTACGTGCACTCGCTAAAGGAAGAGGCGATCCCTATTCCGAACCAGTCGGCCATCACCAAGGATAACGTCAGCATTCAGATCGATGGTGTGCTATACGTCCGGGTGAGCAGTCAGTGACTCGTTATTGGGAGTCTCGCTATTGGCGTGGTTTGGAAGAGGGAGGTTTCCAGGCAATGATGGTGTGCTATACGTTCGGGTGAGTGGAGTGTCAAATCGTAGGGTGGTGTAGTGATGGCTGTAGGTTTGTAGGTTTGGCTGTAGTGATACTTCCCAGTCCGAGCCAGTCGGCCATCACCAAGGACAACGTCAGCATTCAGATCGACGGAGTCTCTTTTTGAGGCGCCTCAAAAATAGGCTCTACATCAGGATAAGTAGTCAGTGACCCGTTATTGAGAGCCTCTCTCTTTGAGTGGTTTGGAAGAGGGAGGTTTGTAACGAATCGGCGGTTACCGAGGATAACGTGAGCGTTCAGATCGATGGAGTGCTTTATGTTACATGTGCCTCGACCGAGGCATGCTCAATCCATGCAGTGTGGGGATACCAAGGTTACTATCCTTGGTAACGTCAGGATGACAGGTTGCTTTACGTTAGGGTGAGATAGTATGATTGGTAATATGATATCTTAGTTAGTCCATCTCAAGGCATGAGAGAGGGGAGGGCCAATGTGCCACGATGATATCTCCCTGCTAACTTACTTTTTCCGCTCCCCCCCCCCCCCCCTCCCTCGCTCCTCCCCGCTTTCTCCTCCCCCCATGGTTTGCTTTTCCTGCCGTCAGATCGTGGATCCGATCCAGGCATCGTACGGTGTGGAGCGGCCGCTGTATGCAGTGGTGCAGCTGGCGCAGACGACCATGAGGAGCGAGCTGGGGAAGATCACCCTGGACAACACGTTCGAAGAGAGGGACATCCTCAACACCAACATCGTGGTACGCGGGATGTGGGATGTGGGGGAGAGCACCTTGCTACGCTACAGCTGGGTCAGACCACCATGAGGAGCGAGCTGGGGAAGATCACCCTGGACAACACATTTGAGGAGTGCGACATCCTCAACACCAACATCGTGGTACGTGGTAGAGGAGGGAGGGTAGTACTAGTATAAAGGTGTGGTAATCAGCGCCAGTTAACAACTGTATGCGGTGGTGCAGCTGGCGCAGACGAGGATGCACAGCGAGCTGGGGAAGATCACCCTGGACAACACGTGTTGAGTATGTCCCTCTCTTTGAAAATAGACTCCTAAAAAATAGACTCCTCGACCATGCGCAGCGAGCTGGGGAAGATCACCCTGGACAACACGTGTTGAGTATGTCCCTCTCTTTGAAAATAGACTCCTAAAAAATAGACTCCTCAACCATGCGCAGCGAGCTGGGGAAGATCACCCTGGACAACACGTGTTGAGTATGTCCCTCTCTTTGAAAATAGACTCCTAAAAAATAGACTCCTCGACCATGTGCAGCGAGCTGGGGAAGATCACCATGGACAACACGTGTTGAGTATGTCCCTCTCTTTGAAAATAGACTCCTAAAAAATAGACTCCTCGACCATGCGCAGCGAGCTGGGGAAGATCACCCTGGACAACACGTTCAAAGAGAGGGACATACTCAACACCATAATCGTGGTAGGTGCCTGTGTGAGGGAAAGGTGCCGACCAATCCACATCACATGTACTGTGTGAATTGTAATTGTCATTGTGGCGTGCCCTCTGTGTGTGTGTGTGTTTGCGTGTGTGTGTGTGTGTCTCTGGCTGTCTGTGTGTGTGTGTGTGTGTGTCTGTGTGCGTGTGTGAGTGTGGTGTGTGTGTTTGTGTATGTGTGTGTCTGTGTGTGTGTGTGTGTGTGCATGTGTGTGTGTGCGTGTGTGTGTGTGTGTGTGTGTGCGTGTGTGTGTGTGTGTGTGTGTACGTGTGTGTGTGTGTGCGCACGTTTGTGTGTGTGTGTGTGTGTGTGTGTGTGTGTGCGTGCAGAGAGCAATCAACGAAGCTGGCCAGGCATGGGGCATCGAGTGCCTGCGATACGAGATCCGTACGTGCCATCCTCACATAAAGACCGTCTGTTTTTCCCTTCCCTTCCCTTTCATTTTCTATTCACTCATTTTTCAAACTTCGACCTATTAACCTATTATCTCTCCAACCCTCCTCCGTTGGCCCGCCAATTGCTGTGCATGCCATAGGACACATTTCTTCCACTCCTGCTGTGTGAGCAGCCATGGAGGTGCGTTTTGAAAATCCCCAAAAATGGCTGCACTGCAGCCGTGCAAGCAGAGGCGGAGCAGATTTCGTGAGCGCAATTGCTTATTCTTATTACTGCAATTGCTTATTCTCCCCCACCTGGCGTGCGAGCAGCCATAGAGATGCAGGCCAAGGTGGAGCCAAGGAGAAGAAGAGGAGCTCAGTTTCTAAAGCTTGACCCCCAATCCTTTCCTGTTGACCCCCAACTGCCGCACATGCCACAGGCGACATCTCTCCCCCGCCTGGCGTGCGAGCAGCCATGGAGATGCAAGCTGAGGCGGAGAGGAGAAGGCGAGCGCAAGTGCTGGAGTCAGAGGGTAAGTGCTGGAGTCAGAGGGTAAGTGCTGGAGTCAGAGGGTAAGTGCTGGAGTCAGAGGGTAAGTGCTGGAGTCAGAGGGTAAGTGCTGGAGTCAGAGGGTAAGTGCTGGAGTCAGAGGGTAAGTGCTGGAGTCAGAGGGTATGAGCTGTTTGTACCTCCTCTCCTCGCCCTTTTCCACTCACTCCACCTCATCTCACTCCACCTCATCTCACTCCACCTCATCTCACTCCTCCTCATCTCACTCCACCTCATCTCACTCCACCTCATCTCACTCCACCTCATCTCACTCCACTCCACTCCAGTCCTGCCCCATGCCTCTCCATCTCGTTCCTGCCTGTCTCCCCATGTCATCTGATCTGCCTTGATCTGATCTGATCTGATCTGATCTGACCCGATCTGATCTGATCTGATCTGCTCCCCTCCTTGCCTGTTTGCCAGCCTCCCCCCGCTCTTATCCTGCTTACCCACACCAGACACCAGGTGACCGCAAGGCCATTACCAAGACCATCCTCCAGTAGGGCTGAGGGGCGCAAGGCCATAACCAGATAACCCTCTCAGATGTCGCTTTTGAGGCACCTCAAAAGCTGAGGGGCGCAAGACCATAACTGTGTAACCCTCCCAGATGTCGTCCCTCTCTACCTCCATAACGGATCTTTCCACTCTCCCCACCCACGCTTCTTCCATCCCCCCCCCACCAGGTGACCGGCAGGCAGGCCAACATGAACATGGCAGAGAGGCGCAAGACAGCAATTTATGACTGTCCCCTGTGTTAGCCTTTTACTCCTCTCTCCCCTCCCCCCATCCCCTTGCCCACCTCCTCCAGGTGACCGGCAGGCCAACATCAACATGGCAGAGGGGCGCAAGACAGCAGTCATCCTCCAATCAGAGGCCGCCATGTCAGACCAGATCAACAGAGCCAAGGGTAGGTGGCTTGAGGCTTGAGGAAAGAGCCAGAAATGGATGAGATGGTCCCTTTGAAACGAATCAAGAACTCTCTATCTCCTTTATCTCCCGTCCTGATTTCCCCCCTTCCCCTCTCCCTATGCATGGCATACTTACTCACTGTTTCCCCCCCCCTGTCCCCTCCCATGTGCTTCCCTTCCCCTCTCCCTCTCCCCCTGTCCCCTCCCATGTGCTTCCCTTCCCCTCTCCCTCTCCCCCTGTCCCCGCCCTTGCATCATACAGGAGAGGCGGAGGCCATAGTGGCAAGGGCGAGGGCGTCAGCAGAGGGCATTGGCATGCTGTCCAATGCGCTAATGGCTGAAGGGGCCACTCAGGTGGGCTTGTTAGGGCAATGCAATGGACAGCCCGGCTCATGGTGTGAACCAGCTCACAGGGCGTCAGCAGAGGGCATTGGCATGCTGTCCAATGCGCTAATGGAAAGCCCGGCACATGGTGTGAACCAGGTGACTTTTGAGTCGACTCAAAAGTCACCTCGAAAGCCCAGCTCATGGTGTGAACCGGCTCACAGCGCGTCAGCAGCAGAGGGCATTAGCATGCTGCCCGATGCGCTTGTGGCTGAAGGGGCCACACAGGCGAGGAGTAGTGCCTGTTTGAAACCAGCGATCATGCTTTTTATTCTTCCTGCCAACCATTCCATTATTCTGCCCCTCCCTTGGTCCCTTCCTTCTCGCACCATTTTCAACCGCACACCAGGTCGCCAGCCTGAGAGTGGCAGAGCAGTATGTGGCGGCTCTAGCACATCTGGCCAAGGAGGAAACTTCGCTTGTTTTCCATCGGCCCGCGTCTTCGTCCCCTTCGCTTCTGTTCTTTTGAGTCGACTCAAAAGTCACCGTCGTCCCCTTCTCTTCTGCTCTCTCCCTCCCTTCCCTGCCATCCCTTACATCACGCCGCGAGGTGACTTTTGTGTCGACTCAAAAGTCCCTTCCCTGCCATCCCTTACATCACGCCGCGAGCCTGAGAGTGGCATATCTGTACGTGGCAGCACTGACGAATCCGGCCAAGGAGGGAACCTTTTTGAGTCGACTCAAAAATCACCTACTTTTCTATCAATCCAACAACTCATTCTATTCTGCCCTTTTTTCCTTTCCTCGTCGTCTCTCACACCAACCCCTTGCACCAGGCCGCCAGCCTGAGAGTGGCAGAGCAATATGTGGCAGCTCTAGCAAATCTGGCCAAGGAAGGGACCACAGTGCTGCTGCCTAGCAACGTGGGCGACCCATCCTCCATGGTAGCGCAAGCACTGGCTATCTATAAGACCGTGTTGAGTTCCCCTGCAGGTGCAGCCGCTGATAAAAGCGAGCCGAGGAGATACGCGCAAGAGGGCAAGCAACGGATGGGAGGAAGGAGTGACAGTGAGGCTTCAGAGGAGTCTGTTGGGTCTGATGGGATGGGGGTGGCGGAGGATGGGGCTGGTGACAGAAGGACTGGCTTCTCATTGCAAGCACCCAAGTGATAATATGGAGAGATACACACTGGTTGCCTATTATTGTTTGCATGTATGTGGAACGCTTAGAAAGGAAATATCCTGTTTGGAGCTGTCAATTTGGAACCTCAGACATTTGTAGCTAAGAAAATAGAATGTGAAGCTGGTTCCTTTCCTCGTGGCATGACTGGTTCCTAACAGCTTGGTGAAGCAATTGAGGTAGGTACTATTTATGTGAGGGGGACTAACAGCAGGTCACATAGATGCTCACCTGTCATGGCTAAAACAGCGGTTCGAGAGGGAACTTAGAGCAAATGGGCGGCTGGAGGGGCATGAAAACATTGAAACAGTTGACTTGATAGCACATGGCGGCTAGGCCGTCAGTATGGTACTTTTGGGACATCGGAGACTGATCAATGATCACTGCTCGCTGCATGCACTCTCCAAGGCGAAGTGAATTGGTTGTCTTGCCACTCCATTCCATTCCTAGCAGAAAATACAACATTTTTTGGCGCGAACAAATCACCCTGTACACCATTCACGTGCAGTGGATCAGAGGCAGCAGCCAATCGCGCACGGCGCAATGCCGTGCGGGCGAAGTCTGCTGATTTCGTGAACTGTTCGTCAAGATTGTCCCGAGCTTCGTGAGGCGAATCGTAGGCGCACATCCTCACCACCATTTCGCCACCAACCATATATTTTCTCATCCATCAACCATAATCTCACCAGCTGCCCGACCCCTCCCAGTTTGAACATTCAAATTCAGAATGCACGGCTGTGCGGGCCTTGGGAACTCCATATTTTGCTTCCATGACACCCTTCTGCCCGAGGTTCATGGTTCGCTGGTACGCGTGTGTGTGACCTTGGGAACTCCCAGATTGGCTTCTTCTACAAGCCTCGAGGCTTGTTTCCATCCAGCAGGAAAATAGTACCATATCCGTTTCCCGCCATTTCTGGTTGTTGTCTTGCTTACGAGATAGGTTACCTACCAGACAGTAGTTTCTCATTCCCAGACATGAGGCCTTTTTGCCTTGTTATTATCGTTTTTTAGAGCGCTGTGATTTCTACAGCCGTGATTCGATGGCGTCTAAGGCGACACCGACCGACCCTTCGAGCTACATAGGTCGGAAAGTGAAGAAGGATTTTGGAGTGCACGGCTGGTTCATAGGTCGCGTTGAATCGTACGATTCGAACGAGAATTTCTTCCTGATCAAATACGAGGACGGAGATTGCGAGGAGGTCGAGTTACAGGAGCTCGAAAGTATCCTCGTTAAGAGAGGGAGACCGAAGCGAAACTCTAATCCTCCCATTCCGCAGCCATCAGGAGGAACCGATAGTGTAGCCTCTGCGCCGTTCTCCCCTCTTCTCGCGAATAAGCGTTCTCTCGCAGCTAAGCATACTCCCGCAGCGAACCATACTACTCCTGCAGCGAAGCACGCTACTCCTGCAGCTAGTAAGCAAACCCCGGGATCGATCTCCTCCAAGAGAAAGCAAGCGGCTCCTGCTGCATGGCGTCACTTGACTGATTCTGCCGCGGACAGACGGTCGGCGGAGCCAAGCCAGGCAGTCCCGGAGGGTACAAATGCCGTTAGGCTGCCTTTTTCAGCTGAAGCCGTTTTACAGAAAGGCAAGGGTAGCGTGGGAATTTCCGCTAACCGCGTCAGTCTAGGATCGCACCAATCCGATGCGTCTCCTGCTGCGGCTCATGCAGCGAAGCCCGTGCTTTCCGTCAGGGACGCCATTAATCAGGCACGAGCGGCTAAGAGCCAGTGGAAGCAGCAGGCTCAGAGCAAGGCCAGGCGGAAGGCTCCCAAGATCGGCAGGAGAAAGTCCTGCGGATCAGCCCGCGCTTCTGGCGCCGATACTGACAGTGAGGGCCACGAGGAGGAGGAGAACGACAGGGATGGGGAGGCGGAGGCGGAGGCGGAGGAGGGTGCTAGAGGGGACCTCATTTTGTCCCATAATAGGGCTGTGGGTTCGGTTGCGGAGCAGTCCCCCGGCAAGTCGTTCCAGGATCTTTTTGCGTCGCAGGTTGACCTGCGGCAAGTCGTTCTGGCGCTACCCGCACCCAACGCGCCACCGATATTCCAGCTCCCACCTCCACCCGACGCTGGGCGACTCGCGCTGCAACCTGCACCAGATGCACCGTCACAGATCTTGTCCCCTCCAGCTCTCCCAGCTTCTCAGACGCCCCCACGTGCCGGCCTCTCTACCCCGTTATCCTCGTTAGTAACAGTCCCTGGTCACGCGCACGATCAATTTGGCTACAATCTGGACCGTTCTGTACCGCGCCCACCTCCCTTCCCTCCTCCGCCTGTATCCACCCTCCTCCCGCCTTCCTCATCCGACCTGCCGGTTCCAGCCGAGTCTGTGCTCGACCTCCTCTCCGTCTACTCCTTCCTTCGCTCCTTCTCCCAGCAGCTGTTCCTCAGCCCGTTCACCCTAGACCAGTTCTGCCACGCGCTCACCGTCCCGCGCGCCAGTCCGCTAATAGACAGCGTCCACGTGGCGCTGCTACGTGCCGTGGAGGACGAGTCGCCGTCAGCAGCAGCGGCGGCAGAGGGAGGCGCGGGAGGTGCGGGTTCTAGGAAGCAGGAGAAGGACAACACAGGGAGCGTGCATCCCATGGAGCTGGACAAATCATTCCTGGACGAAATCACCTGGCCGGAGTTCCTCCTCCTCTTCCTCTCCTCCCACTCCGCCTCCCGCCCTAACAGCCGCAGACTCAACCACTCCGCGCTCGCCTCTTTTGACTACTACCTCCTCCCAGCCCCCACCAAGCTCGACTTCCTCTCTCTGCTCTGTGACGAGGCCCTCGGCAGCCTCAGGGTGCGGCTTGAATTAGATCGTCGGCAGGGGGAGTTGGAGAGGAAATATGCGCTGGCGGGGGTTGGGATGGAGGAGGAGGAGGAGAATTTAGAGGATGTGTTAGCGCCGCTGGAGAGGCAGGGGCGGAGGAGGAGGGGACGGAGAGGCGGAGGGGGGGAGGAGGATGAGGACGGGGATGTGGTGATGGGGTATCATAGCCTTGGGATCTCCGCGCTTGCTGCTGCTGGGGTTCCTTCCGGTATGGCAGGGTTGTCAGCTGTAGGAACCTGTGGTGGTGGTGTTGGCGGTGGTGCTGCTGCTGAGTCAGCAGGCGCGGGTGATGAGCTGGCGGACGGGAACGCTGACGAGTGCAAGCTGTGCGGAATGGACGGCAATCTGATCTGCTGTGACGGGTGCCCTGGCGCGTTCCATTCCCGCTGTGTGGGGGTAGTGGTAGCAGCCCTGCCGGATGGGGACTGGTTCTGCCCGGAGTGTGACATGAAGAGGAGGAGTGGGGATGTGTTGGGTGCGGTGGTGCCTGAGGGGCTGAGAGGGGAGCACCTGGGGGAGGATCAGCACGGGCGGGTTTACTATGGCACCTGCGGCCGTGTTGTCGTGTATGTGGTTTTGCTTTTAGTGCCTCGGGACAGGACCATCAATCCTAACCTCCCCCTCAGAAACCTCTGCTTGCCCAATTCTCGCTCATTTTCCGCCCATACCTGCGTCCAAGTCGTACCTGGGCCTGTCATGTCTTTCTTGCTTCAGAGAGTCACGTCCTGATTCAGCATTGTGTGCTTCCTCCCCACTCCTTCCGTTCCCTTCACATGCAGGTCTGAAGAGCGTCACAATGGCACCCATGTAACGGCCTACTGCAGCCCTGCAGGCGTCCCCCGCCTGCTGCGCGATTTCCCTTCACTTCGTTTCTGTTTTTCAATTCAACTTCAATCCCCATCCCCCACAATGCAGGTCTGAAGAGCGTCACAATGGCACCCATGTCACGGCCTACTACAGCCCTGCAGACATCCCACACCTGCTGCACCATCTAGCCACCTTGGGACCTAGCTTTGCAGCTGTGCATGAGGCGGCTGCCGCGTTCGCTTGCTCCGAACACCTGCAGCTAGAGAAGGCTGAAGTGGAGGCTGAAGATGATGCTGGGCTGCTGCAGCCAGAGGCGTCGGAAGAGGATGCTGAGGTGCCTCGGATCGGGGCGGCTGAAGAGAAGGCTGAGCTGGCGCAGAGTGTGGCGGATGTGGAGATGAGTGAAGGGGTCACAGCGGATGTAGACGCGGGTGAAGGGGGCACAGGTGATAAAGAGGGAGAGGAGGGGCACGCAGGTGATGTAAAGGTCGAGGAAGGGGGTACAGCAGTGGTAAAGGCAGCGGAAGGGGGCACAGGTGAGGTCAAGACAGAGGACGGGGGTGCTGCAGAGATGATGACAGGTGCAGGCGCTACAGATGAGATGGAGGAAGGTGGGGAGGATACTGTTGAGCTGAATGCAGTGACAGGGCGGGGTGGAGAATCTGTGGCCGTTGATCCGACTCAGATGGCACCAGAGACAAAAGAGGGAGAGGGAGAGGAGGAGGGAAGGGCACAGGAGGAGGGGAAGGAGGAAGTAAGGGCAGATGAGGGCGCAGAGGAGGGCGCAGACGGGGGTGCAGAAGAGCGAGCAAATGAGGGAGTAAACGAGGGAGCAAACGAGGGAGCAAATGAGGGGGCAGAGGGGGTTGCGGATGGGAGTGTTAGTGTGGGTGCAGAGAAGGGCTCAGAGGAAGGCGCAGATGGAGGTGCTGGAGGGAATGCAGGGGTGGGGGCGGGAAATGCAGCAGATCGAAGTGCAGAGGACTTTGCAGATGGAGGTGTGAATGAGGGTGCAGGGAATGACGGTGCAGCTGTGGGTATGGAAACGGCTGAGGGGCAGAGAGGGGGGGAAGAGGGCGGAGACAAGGGGAGAGGGACGGGCGAGGAAGGGACAGGAGGTGAAATGGAGGGAGAAAGAACTTCGGAAGGTAGGGAAGGAGTGGATTCGGTAAGGGCCGCGGAGGTGGGGACAGGAGAGAAAAGTGGGGCAGCAGATGTGGTGGGTCCAGCTGCAGAGGCTGCAGATTTGGCAGAGCCTGTAGGACTGGTGAGTGGGGCAGAGGCAGTTGAGGCTGGCAGTATAGGAGCAAGGGTAGAAGGAACAATGGGAACAAAAGAGGCAGGAGCAGGAGGACAGGAGGATCCTATGGAAGTGGGCCTCTCTTGTGCTCTGGAGACTGAACAGCTCCCGCCAGCAGACGATGTCACGGCTGAGTTGCTGCCAGGCACAGGAGAAGGAGCAGATGCTCTAGGAGTCGAAGGAGCAGCCGGAGGAGACGGAGCGATTGAAGCAACAGCGCAAGAAACGGCTTCAGCGGCAGCAGCAGCAGCAGCAGCAGGAACGGCAGGAGCAGTAGAAGGAGAACCAGCAGTGGCAGGAGCAGCAGAAGGAGTAAAGGACGAAGCAGGGGAAGCAGCAGGGTTATTGGAACGAACGCAGTTGGAAGAGGCGTCAAATGGCGGCGAGCCAGCACCGCTTGCCACAACGGAAGCAGAGGCAGCACCGGAAGAAGCCGACAGAGAGGGAGAAGCCGACAGAGAGGGAGAAGCCGACAGAGAGGGAGAAGGATCCTTCAATGCAGAGCAGCAGAGGGCGGTGCAAGACCCCAGCAGCAGAGCAGCAGAGGATGGTGAGCTAGGGAAACCGCAGGGCTTATCTGACCCTTCCCTTGCACCCAAGGCAGGCTTAGAGAACGACTCTCAAGTGAACGACGCCGCATGGCACAAGCGGGGAGGGGGGAGAATAACCCGGGTGGTGGCACGGCTGTGGGAAAGGCTTGGGGCAGCTGGTCCTTGGGAGGCTGGAGAATCTACTCCTGCTGCTGTTGCTAGTGCCGCTGGTCCTGCTGATCCTGCTGCTGTCGCTAGTGCTGCTCCTGTTGTTGGGGTGGTACCAGAGAGCCCGTGTCAGGTAGCAGCTGTAGATGGTGGGGTAGCCCAGGCAGCTTCTCAGGCAGAGCAGGAAGCACAGCAAGCACAGCGAGCACAGCAGGCACAGCGGGCAGAGCGGGTGGAGCGGGCAGAGCAGGTGGAGGAGCGGGTGGAGCGGGCTAGACAAGCCGAACTGGTGGAACAAGCAGAGCCGTACGTGAACCGCTATGCCCTGGGCGTGGTGTCCGCGGGGCTAGCCCTGGCCCTGTGCTCCGCCACTGAAGCCGCTCAGGAGGCGGAGAGGCGAGCGAGCACAGGTCGAGAGAGACATGACGATGACGACACGGAGCACAGGACTCGACGCAGCGGCCGCAGACCCAAAGGCCTCATTTCTGTCACCGAGCAGATGCGAGTCTTTGCCAGAGCCATGCCTGCAGGCTACTGGCCCACTTCTGGTCAGTTTTCCGGCCGCGGTGGGGCCACAGGAGGGTCTAGAAGCTCGACTTCAGCTGCTGCTGCTGCGGCGGCGGCAGCGGCGGTGCATGTTCTCAAGGAGAGATGTGGGTGGTGCGCCCACTGCCAGGCGGCCCATCGGAAATACTGTCTGCTGGTCTCTGCTGCCCGCGCTGCTTCTGCCACCGCTGCTGCTGCCGCTGCGGTGGGGAACGTCCGGGCTGCTAGCCAGCGCAGGCTCGGGGGAGGCTTGGCGGGAGGTTTGGGAAAGGGGAGGTTTGGTGCGGGTTCGACAGGAGGGGAAGCGGTGGCAGGTGGAGTGGGAGGAGGGGTGGATGGGGGGAGAGTGAAGGGAATGGGAGGACTGGGAGGGGTGCGTGCGGTGAGGGGAGAGGAAGCGTTGAGGGAGAGGGATGGGAGGCTGGATGCTGTGGTAACACGGTTGATGTATCTCGAAGGGCAGCTGCACCCCCTATTAGAGGGCCCTTGGAACGAGTTCAACTGGCGCGGGCAGTGGCGGCAGAGCGCCGTGCAGGCGGCATCACTACTCCAAGCGAAGCAGCTTATGAAGGAGGTCGCCTGCTCCCTCCGCACAGTCGCCCTCTCCTCCCATTGGTCCGCCGAACCGGAACCCCCCGCGCCCCTCCCCTCCGGCCTCCCGTTACAAGCACACCTGGTGCCTGTCGCCCCTGCTGCTGCCTCCCGCCTCTCTGGTAGGAGGCGGAAGTCCCAAGGAGGGAGAGGAGGAGTAGGAGGAGCAGGAGCAGGACCAGGAGCAGGAGCAGGAGGAGGAGGAGGGGGTTCGGTGCCGGCGTGGGTGATGCTTATGGAAGCGAGGCGAGGGGGGTTGAGAGAGAAAGTTCAGTGGTTCAGAGGCCAGGGCTTGGCTCGGCATGCTGCGGACTGGGAGCAGCTGCCTCAGGACTTGGCTCGGCGGGCGGCTCGGCAAGGTGAGTGGTTTGGGAAGGTGAGTGAGTTGGGCAAGCCTGCGGGTTCTATGACTGGCTTGGTGCCCAGCTTGTTCCTGACCTTGCTCTCCTCTTGCTTTCCCTTTCCCCCCTCTTCCATCCTCCCTCCACCCCCCTCCCCTCCGCATACCCCCACACCCCTCCCACTCTCTCCCATCTTGCCCTTCAGGCGGGTTCAAGAAGCTCCCAGAGTCACTCCACGGAGTGCCCTTCTCGAGCTGATGCACGGCTGTCTCCCCCCCCCCCCACCCTCGCCCCCCTGCAGGCGGGTTCAAGAAGCTCCCAGGGCTGCTATATGGCGTGCCCTTCTCGAACTGCCGGGGTGTGCCAGTGCGATCTCAGAAAATTGCATGGGAGGGGCATGGTTGGATGCTGCTCGCACAGTAGCGCAGCTGGCTGTGCAGCTGCGATCGGTGGAGGGGTTCATCCGCTGGGACCATGTCAACACTCCCTACTTCCTCTAATCCCACCCCACCTCCCTTCCTCCTCCCTCCTTCCCCTCCCTATCACTCACAGGAGGATTCAAGAAGCTTCCTGGCTTGCTGTATGGGGTCCCTTTTGTCAACCGCCGCGGTGTGCCGGTGCGATCCCAGAAGGTTGCGTGGGAGGCACGAGTGGATGCTGCTCGCACGGTGGCCCAGCTGGCTGTGCAGCTGCGATCGCTGGAGGGGTTGATTCGCTGGGACCAGGTCAACTCCCCTGCTGGCCCGCCCTCGGTTGCTGTTGCTGCTGCTGCTGCCGCCGCTGTAGCTGCTGCTGTTCGTGCTTCTGGTGCTGGTGGTGGTTCAGGGAATGATGATGACGTGGAGCAGAACTTGCTTTCGCTGTGTGATGTGGCGTCCCGCGATTCGTTCGTTTTGGATAAGGACTTTCGGCCACCGTATGTGAAGGGGAGGAGGTGGAGGGGGGAGAGGGGAGTGGAGTATCTGCTGGTGGTGGAGAGAGAGGAGGAGGAGGGGGAGGAGGGAGGGGAGGGGGAGGAGGAATGTGATTCCGAGGAGGAGAGGAGAAGGAAGAAGAAGAGGGCGAGGGAGAGGGTGAGGGCGTGGAGGAGGAAGCAGAAAGAGGTTATTGAGGGAGTGGGGGCGGGGGCGGGGGTTAAGGAGAGGAAAGGGAAGGCAGGGGTGAAGAAGGAAGCGGAGAGAATCAAAGAGGAGGAAGGGCAGGAAGCGAAGAATGTGACAGGAAAGGAAATGCAGCAAGGTATGGAGACTAGGGAAGTGGGAGTGAAGGAGGAAAGGCAGGAAGAGGTGAGGGAAGGTGTAAGGGAGGAGTGCGAGGAGGTGGAGAGGGAGGCCAAACGGGCGAGAAGAGGAGAGGCAGAAATATGGGTGGCAGGGAAAGGGGAGGTAGTGGGAGGAGAGGCAGAAATATGGGTGGCAGGGAAAGGGGAGGTAGTGGGAGGAGAGGCAGAAATTTGGGTGGCCGGGAAAGGAGAGTTAATGGGGGGAGAGGCAGATGCAGCTATTGAAGAAGCTATCGGAGAAGTGGAAACTCCAGACCGGAATATCCAAGAAATGGCCGCTGAAGCCGTGAAGCACGAAGAGGTGAAGGCTGAGCAGGTGGAGTCTCAGGGGGGTGTGGCGGTGGAGAAAACTTCTGGGGCTGCTGGACAGGAGACCCAGGATGGTGGGGAGAGAGACGATGATGATGTGGAGGAAGTGGCAGGAAACGCAGAAGAGGTTTGCGAGGTGGTTGATGATGCTGATGGTGATGGTGATGGCGATGCTGATGCTGATGCTGATGGTGGTGTTGCTCGTGATGATGGTGGTGATGGCGGTAAGGGCGATGACATTGCTATGGTAGACTTATCGCAAGAAGAGGAGGAGAAGGCGCAGTGTAACACTGGTGGTGGGGCTGAGAGAAAGGAGGAGGAGGAAGAGGAGGAACGAGAGGAGAGTGAGGAGGAGGAATACGAAGAGAGGGATGAGGATTTGTTTGGAGAGCAGGAAACAGGGAGAGGGAGGGGGAGAGGGAGAGGAAGGGGAAGAGGTAGAGGGAGGGGGAGAGGAAGGGGGAGGGGCGGAAGAGGGGGGGGCGCTGGGGGAACAGGGAGGGGGGGAGCAGGGAGGGGGGGTGGAGGGAGAGGGAGGGGGAAGCGGAAGAGGGGGGCGCATTTGGTTGAGTACATGAGAGCGAAACGAGCTGCTGCTGCTGCCGCCGCTGCTGCCACTCCTGCTGATTCTGCTGCTGGTGCCGATGCTGGGGTTGCTACCCGTCTATCTGGTGTTGCTGACGTGGAAGGAATTGGAGTGGATGGAGGCAAAGGGGGTGCTGAGAAGGCGGCAGATGGGGCAGACGGAAGCGACGCAGCGAGGGAGAAGGGAGGAGGGAAGGAGGGAGGGGGGAAAGGGGAGGAGAAGGCAGGGAGGAAGCGCAAGCGCGAGCTGAAGCCGGAAATCATTCCGGTGGAGAACAGGAGAGTGACTAGGAGCCGAGTGAAGGAGGAAGATGGAGGGGCGAAGGCTGCGGTAGGGGATAAGGGGAAGGGGAGCAAAGGTGTGGCAATGGGTGCTGAAAAGGCAGGGAAGAGGGGAAGGGAGGAGGAAGAAGAGGAAGGTCCAGTTGTTGTGAAGGAGGAGGAGGAGGTGGAGGAGGAGGAGGAAGGAGTGGAGGAGAAAGGTGGGAGAGGGAGAGCGGTTGGGAGAGGTAAGGCTGCTGGTGCCACTGTTGGTCTGAGCCAAAGTGGCTTTGCTGGTGCTGATGTTGACAGAAGGAGGCTCGCAATGAAAAGGGAGGAAGACGGCGAGGATGAAGAGGTGAAACCAGGGAAGGAGATACAGGAGACGATGAAAGGAGAAGTACAGGAGATAGAGGAAGTGGAGGAGGAGAGTGAGGAGGAGGATGAGGGGGAGGAAGAGGAGGAGGGAGGGGGTGTGTGGGTGCTGGAGAGGCTAGTCCCCTTGGAGCTTATCCGAGAGTTTGAGCACCGGAGGAGAACAGAGATATGGGAGGAGCATGCGAAGCTGGTAAGGGCAGAGAGAGAGGCAGCAGAAGCTGCTGCCCGTGCCGTTATCAGCAAGTACGTGCGGGAGAAGGTGCGCGCGATGAGAGAGAGGCGTGAGCTGATGGTTCAGGCGATGATGGTGCAGTGTCGGGAGCAGGAGGGGCGGAGGAAAGGCGCGAGGGAAAGGCAAGGGCAGGAGAGAGAGGAGAAGCGGAAGAGGGAGAGGGAGCAGGAGAGGGAGGAGCGGCGGGAGAAGAAGGAGCAGGCGAAGGAGGAGAGGGAGAGGGAGCGGCAGCGCAGGATGGAGGAGAGGGAGAGGGCTAGGAGGGAGAGGGAGCAGGCGAAGGGGGAGAGAATGACAGTGGTGGTTGGGGCGGAGATGCAGGCTAGGATTGTGGCTGAGGCTCGGGCGAGGATGCAGAGGGAAACGGAGGAGAGGTGTGCTGCCATCCATGCTCGCCTGGTGGCCGTGCAGCAGCAAGCAATGCCGAGCAGAGGCATGCAGGGTCAAGGCATGCAGGGTCAAGGGATGCAGGGTCAAGGGATGCAGGGTCAAGGGATGCAGCAGCAGGCAATGCAGAGCGGAGGCATGCAGGGTGAAGCGGCGCAGGGCCAAGATGGGGTACTTCTAGAGGGGGAGGGGCAAGCAGCTCTAGGATGGGCAGGAGAGAGTGGCATTGAAGCGGGAGGAGCAGGGGCAGGGGCAGCAGGAGGAGCAGCGGAGATGGTGGTGGAGGGAGGCTCGATGGCACCTCTGGATCCGTGCAGAGTGTGCATGCGAGGGCTCTTTGATGCTGGGTGAGTGGATGGGGTGTATGTATGTGGGCATGATGGCAGGTCGGTATATGAATGAGGTTGGGTAGAGGGGCGATGGCACCTCTGGATCCGTGCAGAGTGTGCATGCGAGGGCTCTTTGGCGATGGGTGAGTGGCAGGGGTGCACGGGGGATAATGTGTGTTGCCATGTGGGAATGATGGTAGATTGAGGGTCCAGCACACTGTTGCCATCAAATCTGGGCCCGTGCAGAGTGTGCATGTGAGGGGCTGTTTGGTGATGGGTGAGTGGCAGGGGCGCATGTGGTAGTGACCAAGCTCGTGTGCGAGTGACTCCGTAGTGATAGTAACTTACGCATCCTTTCCCTTTTTTCATGCATCTTCTTGGATAATCGATTACCCTCCTCTCCTCCTCTTCGGCTCCCCCCCTCTCCCTCTCAACACTGCCCTGTGGCTTATGTTCTTCCCTTTTTTCATGCATCTTCTCTTTTCAGCGCGGATCAAATCTTCATATGCGTCTCATGTAAAGGTGACCTTCCTTCCACATGCCTCCTTATCCTTACTGGATGTTTCAATCAACCGGATAAGGATATCGTTCCAACTTCCAACACGTCAATCGTCAACTTGCTGTTGTGTGGCTCCGCCTCACTCACTCGGCTCCGTTTTGATGCTGAACCTCTGCACTGTTCCGATAGTTTGGCCGCTCTCTTATGTTTACCACCCATAGTTGATACCTCCCATTGTGATCATTTTTGCTTTTTGCACCCCCCCCCCACCTTCTCCCCCGCCTTTTACTCTCCCCCATAACAGCTCTGACACATGCTGCGTGCCTCTCTCCCCCCGACCTCCTCCCTCCGGCCTTCCACCCCGCCCCTCCCGCTGAGCCCTCCCCATCCCCATCCCCTCCCCCCCTCCTCATCGTCTGCCTTCACTGTGCTCTCACCGTCTCGCAACAAGATGCCATTGCTGCCACCACTGCTTCTGCTGAAGCAGCCGCTGCCGCCGACGCTGCTGCTGCCGCTGCTGCGGCCTCTGCTTCTGCTGCTGCGGCTGCTGGTGCTGCTGGTGGTGGTGTTTATGGTGACGCTGCTGCTGCTGCTGCTGCTGCTGCTGCTGCAGCAGAGGGGCATGACGAGGAGCGGAAAAAGCGCCGGAAAGTTTTCCGGGCAGAACACCCAGTTTGGACGCTGCCCGGGACCCCGGGCAACCGGCACACAGTTGCGGGTTACTATTTCGCTGCAGGAAAGGGCGACAAGGGGGAGAGGGAGCGGTCGGAGGGGGAGCAAGGGCTGCAGCTGAAGTGGATACCGGCAGGGCCGGCGGGGAGGAAGGCAATGAGGGGGTATGGGGTGGAGGAGGGAGGGGGGGTGGCGTGTAGACTGTGCAAGGAGGGCTATGATGAGAGCCGCTTCTACGTCGCCTGCAACTTCTGCGACGGTACGCCGGGTTTAGATCGTGGGAAATCGCTCTACTGTTTCTGGGCTGATTCCAAAACAGGAAGTTTGGGGTGGTCGAGGGAGGGGGAGTAGCGTGCAGACTGTGCAAGGAGGGCTATGATGAGTCCCACTTCCACGTCGCCTGCAACGTTTGTGGTGGTATGCTGGGTTGAGCTTGTCAAACGTTTTGGTCTTGCTGTGTGTTCTCCTTGCTCCGGTCCCTCTCCATCCCCCACCTCCCCCTCTCCTTCCCCCACCTCCCCCTCTCCTTCCCCCACCTCCCCCTCTCCTTCCCCCACCTCCCCCTCTCCTTCCCCCACCTCCCCCTCTCCTTCCCCCACCTCCCCCTCTCCTTCCCCCACCTCCCCCTCTCCTTCCCCCACCTCCCCCTCTCCTTCCCCCACCTCCCCCTCTCCTTCCCCCACCTCCCCCTCTCCTTCCCCCACCTCCCCCTCTCCTTCCCCCACCTACCCCTCTCCTTCCCCCACCTACCCCTCTCCTTCCCCCACCTCCCCCTCTCCTTCCCCCACCTCCCCCTCTCCTTCCCCCACCTCCCCCTCTCCTTCCATTTTTGAGGCTCTTAAAAAATACTCTCCTTCCCCCACCTCCCCCTCTCATTCCATTTTTGAGGCTCCTCAAAAATACTCTCCTTCCCCCAGCTCCCCCTCTCATTCTATTTTTGAGGCTCCTCAAGAATACTCTCCTTCCCCCACCTCCCCCTCTCATTCTATTTTTGAGGCTCCTCAAAAGTACTCTCCTTCCCCCACCCCCCCCTCTCATTCTATTTTTGAGACTCCTCAAAAATACTCTCCTTCCCACACCTCCCCCTCTCATTCCATTTTTGAGGCTCCTCAAAAATACTCTCCTTCCCCCACCTCCCCCTCTCACTCTATTTTTTAGGCTCCTAAAAAATACTCTCCTTCCCCCACCTCCCCCTCATTCTATTTTTTAGGCTCCTCAAAAATACTCTCCTTCCCCCACCTCCCCCTCTCACTCTATTTTTGAGGCTCCTCAAAAATACTCTCCTTCCGCCACCTCCCCCTCTCATTCTATTTTTGAGGCTCCTAAAAAATACTCTCCTTCCCCCACCTCCCCCTCTCATTCTATTTTTGAGGCTCCTAAAAAATACTCTCCTTCCCCCACCTCCCCCTCTCATTCTATTTTTGAGGCTCCTCAAAAATACTCTCCTTCCCCCACCTCCCCCTCTCCTTCCCCCACCTCCCCCTCTCGTTCCCCCACCTCCCCCTCTCCTTCCCCCACCTCCCCCTCTCCTTCCCCCACCTCCCCCTCTCATTTAGTCCCACCCTCCTCTCCCCCGCTTCTTCCACAGGCTGGCTCCACGGTGACACCTTGCGGCTAGACGAGCACCTCGACATCCCAATCCTGCTCTTCTTGAAAAGTGGTCTTCTTTTGGGGCATCTCATAACACTCTTCCCCTCGCTTTCCTCCCCCCTCCCCTTCGCTCTCACCCCGCCTGCCCCGCCTCCAGGCTGGTTCCACGGTGACACCTTGCAGCTGGACGAGCAGCTGGACATCCCGATCCTGCTCTACTTGAAGTGCAACCGCTGCCGTAAGATCGCCAACAAGCTGCATCCCTGCCGTCCAAACCACGTGGACCCTGCTGATTGGCCCCCACATGGCTCTACTGCCGCTGCCCTCGACTCACAAGCAGCAGATGCAGCAGCAGTAGGGGTCATGGGAGTTGTTGATACTGCCCAAAAAGCAGCAGCTGCAGGTGCAGGAGCAGGGGCAGGAGGAAGAACAGGAGGGGAAGGGAAGGCGGGGGGAGGTGCCAGGGGTGGGAGCAAAAGAAAGGGGAGCAAGGGCGCAGGGACAGTGGAGCAATCGCCTGGTTACCCTGGTTGCGCAAGGGCTGCTGCCACCGCAACTGTGACTGCGCCCGGTGTGATTATAACAGCAGAGAACATCGACCCTGAGTCGTTCTTCGACCCGCAGTTGACAGTAACGGGGGATAGGGCAGTGACTGCGGGAGCAGAAGGGTGGGGCGGAGGAGGGGGGGGAGGGGAAGGCGAGGATGGGCCGTTCTGGAACATTCCGCTGCCCACGGAAACTGATCTCATGGATGGGGCGGCCATGGAGGCTCAGCTCATGGGCACTGCTGGGATGGGCATGGGGGGTGCAGGAACTGGCGCATATGCTGCTGCTGCTGCCCGCATGCCTGATGGTGGAGCAGCTGATGGTGGGGTGCCTGATGGTGGGGTGCCTGATGGTGGGATGCTGGATGGTGGGGTGCCTGGTATTCCTGGTACAGGCGCTTTTGCAGGCGGTGATTCTGTAGGTGGCGCTGCTGCTTCTGCTGGTGCGGGTGCTGCTGGCCTTGCTGGTACCAATGGTGCCAATCCGCCACAAGACCAGCTGTGGCAGTATCAGCAGCAGTTTCATAATCCTCACCAGCAGCAACACCAGCAGCAACACCAGCAGCCGCAGCCGCAGCAGCACCTACAGCAACAACAGCAGCAACGGCAGCAGCAATACCAGGAGCCGCAGCAGCAGCAGCATGGGCAGACACAGCAGGCATGGGTCCCTCATCAGGCGGGGCCAAACCCAGGTGGATTTTCAGGTGAATTTTCAGGCGGCAATTTCCCAGCAGCAACAGCAAGCGGGGGCAGCAGCGGGGGAAGGGGGAAGGGAGGAAGAGTAGGGCCAGGATTGACAGAGGCGGCAGCAGCAGCAGTGGCAGCCGCTGCAGCCGCTGCACCAACGTGCGGAGGGGCGGGAGGGGCAGGAGGGGCAGGAGGGGCAGGAGGGGCAGAGGGTGGAGGCAGGAGGCTGCGCCCACGCAGGCCTCGTTCGGCGTCCACTGCTGATAAAGGGGAGGTTATTAACGAGGCTGCTCACCAGATGATGAGTGCGAACAGTGGCAGGAAAGGTCCTGGGATTCCTTTAGTGCAGAACCTTCCTGGAAACCTCCCCGCTGGACGAACCGTGTTGTTACCAGCAGCAGGGCAGATGGGGCCTTCTGCTCCACCCTCTGCTCCTCCTCACGCCGTGCCTCCCTCTGTGCCCCTCTCACAAGGCGTCTCCCCCTCTTCACTCCTGCCGGCTCCTTCCCCACTTAATCCCTTGAACTCACTTTTTCCAAACCCCTCTCTATCCCCTCTGGACGCCTCCTCGTTTCCTGTGCCTGGGGCTACTACTCCAGGAGCAGGAATGTGGCTAGAAGGGAGAGCAGGCGGAGGGAACTCGGGTGGGGTTTCTGGTCAGTTGCATGGTATGGCGCTGCAACAGCAGCGGTATCAGCAGCAACAACAGCACCATTATCAGCAACAGCAACAGAATCAGCTGCATCAGCAGAATCAGTCGCAACAGCTATATCTTCATCAGCAGCAGCTGCAGCAGCAGCACAATCGACAACTGCAGATGCAGCAGCAGCAGCGGCGGCAGCAACTGCTGATGCTGCACGAGCGTTATCAGCAACAGCAGCAGCAGCAGCAATATCAACAGCAACAGCAACAGCAACAGCAATATCAACAGCAACAGCAACAGCAACAGCAACAACATCAGCAACAGCAACAGCAACAGCAGCAGCTGCGGCATTTTCATACCAATGCACATTTGACCTTCCCCCTTCCCCCCTCACACTCCTCATTGCCACCCATGCCGCCCACCCTGCCACCTCCCGCACACTCCCCGCAACCACCCTCAGACGCTCAGGCCCCCACCGTCATTCCCCCCTCACGCCTCACCCCCACATCGCCATCACCTCAGCCATTTGACTCAAGGCACTCTCAAATTTCCCCAATTCCAGCTGAAGCTCAAAATCCCCCGATTCCTCAGAGTCCCCCAAATCCCCAAAGCCCCCCAATTCAAGCTGAAACGCGCACCTCAGACGTGCCTCCCATGTCTCCGGGGCAGTTAGCTGCGCTGGTAGAGTCCCAGCTGCTGGCACGGGGATTTGACCCCGTGGAAGCAGCAGCCGTGGCGGCTGGGGTGAGGGACGGGGACCAGCGTGCGTTTGAGGCCGTTGCGGCTGCTCTCAGGCCGAGCAAAGGGGCTGCGGGGCAGGCGGGCTCACACCAATCTGCTTCGGCATCTGCTGCTGGCGATGCTGGTGCTGGTGCTGCTGGTGCTGGTGGGGGGCTGGTTGAGAACGGTTCTGAGCAACAGCAGCAGTGGCAAGAGCAGCAGCAACAGTGGCAGCAGCAGGGGCAAGGCCAGCAGCAGCAGCAACAACAGGGGCATGAGCAGCAGCAGCAGTGGCAGCCACAGCAGCAGCCACTGCAGGAGCAGCAACAGGGGCAAGAGCAGCAGCAGCAGTGGCAGCTGCAGCAGGAGCCGCAGCAGGAGCCAGTGCAGCAGTGGTCACAGCAGCAGCAACAGCACTGGCAGCCGCCGCCGCAGCAGCAGCAGCAGCTCAGTCAGCGTGGATCCCGGGTTGGGAGATCGCAGCAGCAACACCACTGGCAGCAGCAAGAGCCACAGTGGCAACAGCAACAACAGCAGTGGCAGCAGCAGCAACAGGTGGCGGGTGATGGCATGTCAGTGCAAAACACCTCCCAACCACAGCAAGCACCCATGGAAGGGGATGGTGGAACGGGCCAAGAGAACATAGGTGCAAACAATGAGGTTAACCCAGTGTTGCTTGAACAATTCCAAGCAAGAATTGAGTCTGGTGGAGACATGGGAGCTGGGATGCTTTGGGAAGGGAATGAGGCAAGCAAGGAGGCGAATTTGCCTGTGACTGGAAATGTGGGCGATGCCATGGTGCTCAGTAGTGGTGATATGATGCCAGGTGCCACTGAGAGTGGCAATGCTGCTCTCGGTGGTGTAGACCCTTCATTGATGTGGAACAAGTGGGGATAGTAGCTCCTTGATGTAGCTTCATTGATGTAGACCCTTGTGTGCAATTCGACCACATGTTCCATAAAAGTTTAGAGAAGCGTTTCTCTAAATCCTTTCGTTTAGAGTTTACGAAGTGAGGCATCCCGTATCAGCTGAGTTTAAAACGAGGATGCCTGACACCCAAACCAGGGTAGGGGGGTGGCCTGCCCTGAATCCCGCCATTTCGCCTCTGTTCGCCGAGCACAAATGGTCCGTCAGCGAAAGCCTGGACACGCTGACGAATCAGGGTTACACAGTTGAACCTCTTGTAGTTCCTAGATTCTGGTTTCTCGAAAACACCTCACTGTCATCTGGTGCCATGGTGAGTTACTAAAGGCAACTCCTAGAATCCACTACCTGGACTTCCGAGCTGGAGCTCCCCGTGTGCAACGTGGGAGACAGCTCGATATGGAGCAGTTATCTTGCGTCAGCCCCACGCATTCGGCTTGTCTGATTAGTTGGTTTTGAGTTGGCTTTAATTCAGTCGACCCAGAAGTCACTCCGAGAATTCTGAAAAGGTCCCAACTGATCACACGCGTCCAGCCTGTGTTTCACGAATTCCAGTCGTAAGATATCGCGGAGATCACCTTCTCGCTTTCAGCTTCAAGTAACGGCGATTCGTTCGGCCATGGAGACCCCGTCGGCCATGGAGATCCGTTCGGCTCCCACCCCAGGCTCGTCGTTAGCACCGTCGCGGTCTAGACGAACCGTCCAAAATTTCTCCATCCTCCTCTTAATCTCCCTACTAGTAGCATTCCTCACCTACTTTCCATCCCGGACCTCCGTAAACCCCGTTCTTCCCGTCCCCCTCCACACGCCCTCCGCCCTCCGCTCCCTAATCCAACTCAACTCGACCGCCACCTTCGGCGTGGTCCCATCCGCGTTAAAACCGCGGCCGAATTTCGCTGCCACAGGCGGGGGAAGCAGCAGCGGCGGCGGGGGAAGCAGCAAAGGCGGCGGAAGGGGGGGGACTGGAGCCGTGTACCTTCGCGAATACAAGCAGCCGATGGCGAATGGGAAACCGGAGTTCACGTGTTACCACACGGATCATCTCCCCTGTAACGAGGCGGATCGCAAGTTCGGCCCGTCGCTGGACATGATACGCGAGTTACAACTCTCTCGAGCGGACCGCGAGATGTTCCACGTGTTAAGGCGGTTCAGGTGGCAGCGGGAGGAGCTGGCGCTCCAGGTGCCACGGCAGGAGCGCAGAGTGGCCTTCATGTTTCTCACTAAGGGACCCGCGCCGTTGGCGCCCCTTTGGGAGAGATTCTTCAAGGTAGGGTTGGGAGTTGAGGGTCCTCCTGGGTCCAGCCAGAGTATCAGCTGGCGATCCAGGTGCCCCGGCAGGAGCGCAGAGTGGCTTTCATTTTTCTCACCAAGGGCCCCGTGCCTCTGGCGCCCCTTTGGGCGAGAGACTAAAAGGTCAGAGTTTTTTTCTTTTTCCTTTTAAGCTCAATTCCTAAAGGATTAAGGGTAAAATTCCGCAGCCCGTGTCAGACTGACCGCCTTAGGGATTTATGACACAACGCAGGCTGATCTCGTGTCTGACATGAGTTGCGGGATCTACCCCAAGGTCAGCTTTTGAACAGTACATTGCGTTAGGTTCAAGTCTCACCTCCCCCACATGCCACCTGCAGGGCCACGAGGGTCGCTATTCCATCTACATGCATGAATCGCCGGGTTACATGTTCCCCACGAAGGCAAGGCATCATCATTTCCTTTCTTTGCATGCCGCCTCCCCCGCATGCCACCTCCCCCGCATGCCACCTCCCCCGCATGCCACCTCCGCCACATGCCACCTCCCTGCCACCTGCAGGGTCATGAACACCGTTACTCCATCTACGTGCATGCATCCCCGGGCTACGTTTTTCCCAAGAACGGGTCCACCCTCTTCAGCAACAACACCATCCGCAGCGAATCGGTAGGTTTAAGGGAACGCTGCTTGCCCTGTGATGCTAGTGTCAACGTTTTCCCGAAGGACGCTTCTACTCTCTTCAGCATCAACTCCATCCGCAGCGAACTGGTTACGTTCTTTGGTCGAGGGCACTTTGGGCTCACAATGCCGTCGACTCACACGCCATTCAGGTGCACTGTGCACCAGGTCGTCGTCACTCATGGTCTTGGGAAGAGCAGCAGTGCGAAGTCAGTCGCTTATTCAGGTGCACTGTGCACCAGGTCGTCGTCACTCATGGTCTTGGGAAGAGCAGCAGTGCGAAGTCAGTCGCTTATTCAGGTGCACTGTGCACCAGGTCGTCGTCACTCATGGTCTTGGGAAGAGCAGCAGTGCGAAGTCAGTCGCTTATTCAGGTGCACTGTGCACCAGGTCGTCGTCACTCATGGTCTTGGGAAGAGCAGCAGTGCGAAGTCAGTCGCTTATTCAGGTGCACTGTGCACCAGGTCGTCGTCACTCATGGTCTTGGGAAGAGCAGCAGTGCGAAGTCAGTCGCTTATTCAGGTGCACTGTGCACCAGGTCGTCGTCACTCATGGTCTTGGGAAGAGCAGCAGTGCGAAGTCAGTCTCTTATTCAGGTGCACTGTGCACCAGGTCGTCGTCACTCATGGTCTTGGGAAGAGCAGCAGTGCGAAGTCAGTCGCTTATTCAGGTGCACTGTGCACCAGGCTGTGCGTTTCCCAAGAACGCGTCTTCTCTCTTCAGCAACAACACCATCCGCAGCAGATCGGTGGGTCCTTGTCTTGTTAGTCAAGGTGAAGTCAATCAACGCTCACAAGTCAATCGACTCACAAGCCATCTACGTGCGTGCATTGCCGGGCTATTGTTTCCTCAAGAACGCGTCGTCTACCCTCTTCTTGAGGCGCCTCAAAAATCGCCTACCCTCTTCAGCAACAGCTCCATTTGCAGCGCATCGGTGGGTTTAGGAGAGGAACGCTGCTTGCACTGTCATGTGATGGTAGTGTGCCAATGTTTGCTCCCACCCTCGCTCCCCACTACCCTCGCTCGCTCCCCACCACCCTCTCTCCCCACCACCCTCTCTCCACACCACCCTCTCTCCCCACCACCCTCTCTCCCCACCACCCTCTCTCCCCACCACCTTCTCTCCACACCGCCCTCTTTACCCGCTTCTCCTCTCTGCCCCCCCCAGGTCGGCTGGGGACTGCCCACCATGGTGTGGCGTCTTATGGATGCTGCTCCCGCCGCCCACTCTCTCCGCCTCCCTCTTCTCTTCCACCTCTCTGCACCCCCCCCGCCAGGTCGGCTGGGGACTGCCCACCATGGTGGATGCGGAGCGCCGCCTCATGGCTGCTGCTCTTGCTGAGCCCGCCAACCACCGCTTTGTGCTGCTCTCAGAATCGTACGCCCTTTCCCCCTCTCTTGATTGTCCTCTCGTACTCTCAGCACTCTTCTCTTACTCTCGGCACTCTTCTCTTACTCTCAGCACTCTTCTCGTACTCTCAGCACCCTTCCACCCGCCCTCCCCATTGCCCTTGCTGAGCCCGCCAACCACCGATTTGTGTTGCTCTCGGATTGTACATTCTTCCGCCTCTCTATCACCGTCCTATCTTTCCTCTCTTTCCTCCTCACTTTCCTCCTCTCTTCCCTCTCTTCCCTCTCTTCCCTCTCTTCCCTCTCTTCCCTCTCTTCCCTCTCTTTCCTCTCTTTCCTCTCTTTCCTCTCTTTCCTCTAAAATCGTCACGCCTCAAAAAGTGGTGAGTGCAATGCTTCAGCACACCGACCAGCTCCGCCTTGTATTTCTTTATAAATATACGATACGCCGAGCTGATGTATCTGTACGCGAGTTGTAGCTGAATGTTCATTTACAGTTGTTTCTGTCAGATGAGAATGTTTCCACACACGTGCTGTAACATCCGTTGGCGGTACTGTACTCACACACCCCCTCCCCTGTTTCAAACCTCAAGCTCGTCTATTTTCCACGGGGGTGGTGTTCGCTAAAAGCGACTGTTAAGGAAAAGCACTGGAACGTTGGAGGTGTAAAAATTTAGTGCACAAGCAAGAAGTCGCTGAGTGTGAACAAAACGCCTCATTTTTCACACCAAGTTCTGCCAGATTCGGGTTGAAAGGGTCAACTCATCGGCAAACAAACAACCTGAGGAATCAAGGTTCGACACCTCTACCCAAGGGTCGAGCCTCGACACCTGATGTGTAAAAACCACCTCAACTTTCAATTGTTCTCGAAAGTGAGGCACCGCTCTGAACCACTTGGGGAACACTTTTGAGGCGCCTCAAAAGCACGCCCCGATGAGATGAGCACAACACAATCTGTTGCCTTAACCGTCACCTGGCACTAAGCAGTGCGAAACTGGTTGTCGGACTGCGAACGAGGCTGAATATCCGCCAGAATCTATATCAGTGCTTGGCTGCTGGACAGAAGGCTTGACCCGAGAGCATCCGCATGCGTTTTGGCAAATTCTTGGCGAGATTTAGCTGTGTCGACGCCGTGTTGTTGACTTCCCGCCATCCCTTTTTGCCTTGGTGCCATGGCGACTTGGGTTCTGATATTCACGCTTGGCCTTCTCAGCTCGAGCATTCCGCGAGCGACATGCACCTTCCAGGTGGAGATGCAGAGTCCGCTTTTGAGGCACCTCAAAGTCATGCACCTCAAAAGTCATGCACTTTCCACGAGGAGATGCTAAGTGTGGCTCCATCAGGTGCATACCTGTGAAAAACTTCAACTTTAAGTACATCTGGGGGATCACCTGAGGGGCCAATTCAAAAGTAACTCCTCACCTGAAGTAACCCTCCTACTTACCTTCTTCCCCTCTCGAGCGCAGGTGCATACCCGTTAAGAGCTTCAACTACATCTGGGACTACCTGATGGGCACTCGCTACAGCTTTGTTTCCAGGTGATTCCCAGGTGTATTCCCAGGTGTGTTTCCAGGTGTGTTTCCAGGTGTGTTTCCAGGTGTGTTTCCAGGTGCTCACATTCCAGGTGTCTAGATGCCATTTCAGGTAAGCGGATGTGAGGATAGCATTTAATCTCAGGTGCAAAAATGGTTTCGTCTCAGGTGGTTGTTGACAAACTCAGGTGTAGGAGCTTCTCTTTCGGGGTTCAGAATCTTCTGCAGAATTCCTAACTTACTGTACTTTTGTGCGGAGGGGATCCATGTTGCATCGGCCAAGACCATGACCCTCTATCGGAATCATGTGTTTCCAGTTCCCATCGCCCTCCTCCTAGTGTGCGCTTTAAATTTTTGAGGCGCCATGTTGCATCGGCCATGTTGCATCGGCCATGTTACATCGGCCATGTTGCATCGGCCAGGACCATGACCCTCTATCGGTATCCTGTGTTTCCAGTTCCCATCGCCCTCCTCCTAGTGTGCGCTTTAAGCAAATGCACTTCACATTCTTCTTCTCCTCGCGTGAGGAGTCTACTTTTGAGGCGCCTCAAAAATAGAATCCTGTGCTCCCATCCTCCTCTTAGCGTGAAAAGCAAATGCACTTCACATTCTTCTTCTCCTCCTCACCTCCCCCTCTCCCCTCCTCTCCTCTCCTCCCCCCTCCTCTCTTCCCTCTTCCCGCCGCTCCCCTCCCCCCCTCCTCCCCTATCTGCCACTTCTTCATCTATCGCCCGGTGTGCTCTGGCCGCTGCTACAAGCTTCAAATATGTCCTCTCCTCCCCTCCCCCCGACTGCTCTCCCCCACCCCCCCTTCCGGCTGCTCTTCCCCCCCCCTTCCCGGCTGCTCTTCCCCCCCTCCTCCCGGGTGCTCTCCCCCCCCCCCTGGCTGCTCTCCTCCCCCCCCCTGGCTGCTATCCTCGCCTGCTCCCTCCTCTCCTCCCTCTGATCTCCCCTCTCCCGTCCGCTCCTCTCCTCACTACTCGCCCGGCAGCTTCTTCATCGATCGCCCCGTGTGCTCAGGCCGCTACGACAAGCACATGCAGCCCAAGATCCCGCTCAGCCGCTGGAGAAAGGGGTCGCAGGTGAGGAAGGGAGTGAAGGCCATGGGGTTGCATGTGGGAGGGGTAGAGGGTGGGTGCAGGAGTGAGGAGTGGGGCTACGACAAGCGCATGCAGCCCAAGATCCCGCTCAGCCGCTGGAGAAAGGGGTCGCAGGTGAGGAAGGGAGTGAAGGCCATGGGGTTGCATGTGGGAGGGGTAGAGGGTGGGTGCAGGAGTGAGGAGTGGGGCTACGACAAGCGCATGCAGCCCAAGATCCCGCTCAGCCGCTGGAGAAAGGGGTCGCAGGTGAGGAAGGGAGTGAAGGCCATGGGGTTGCATGTGGGAGGGGTAGAGGGTGGGTGCAGGAGTGAGGAGTGGGGCTACGACAAGCGCATGCAGCCCAAGATCCCGCTCAGCCGCTGGAGAAAGGGGTCGCAGGTGAGGAAGGGAGTGAAGGCCATGGGGTTGCATGTGGGAGGGGTAGAGGGTGGGTGCAGGAGTGAGGAGTGGGGCTACGACAAGCGCATGCAGCCCAAGATCCCGCTCAGCCGCTGGAGAAAGGGGTCGCAGGTGAGGAAGGGAGTGAAGGCCATGGGGTTGCATGTGGGAGGGGTAGAGGGTGGGTGCAGGAGTGAGGAGTGGGGCTACGACAAGCACATGCAGCCCAAGATCCCGCTCAGCCGCTGGAGAAAGGGGTCGCAGGTGAGGAAGGGAGTGAAGGCCATGGGGTTGCATGTGGGAGGGGTAGAGGGTGGGTGCAGGAGTGAGGAGTGGGGCTACGACAAGCACATGCAGCCCAAGATCCCGCTCAGCCGCTGGAGAAAGGGGTCGCAGGTGAGGAAGGGAGTGAAGGCCATGGGGTTGCATGTGGGAGGGGTAGAGGGTGGGTGCAGGAGTGAGGAGTGGGGCTACGACAAGCGCATGCAGCCCAAGATCCCGCTCAGCCGCTGGAGAAAGGGGTCGCAGGTGAGGAAGGGAGTGAAGGCCATGGGGTTGCATGTGGGAGGGGTAGAGGGTGGGTGCAGGAGTGAGGAGTGGGGCTACGACAAGCACATGCAGCCCAAGATCCCGCTCAGCCGCTGGAGAAAGGGGTCGCAGGTGAGGAAGGGAGTGAAGGCCATGGGGTTGCATGTGGGAGGGGTAGAGGGTGGGTGCAGGAGTGAGGAGTGGGGCTACGACAAGCACATGCAGCCCAAGATCCCGCTCAGCCGCTGGAGAAAGGGGTCGCAGGTGAGGAAGGGAGTGAAGGCCATGGGGTTGCATGTGGGAGGGGTAGAGGGTGGGTGCAGGAGTGAGGAGTGGGGCTACGACAAGCGCATGCAGCCCAAGATCCCGCTCAGCCGCTGGAGAAAGGGGTCGCAGGTGAGGAAGGGAGTGAAGGCCATGGGGTTGCATGTGGGAGGGGTAGAGGGTGGGTGCAGGAGTGAGGAGTGGGGCTACGACAAGCGCATGCAGCCCAAGATCCCGCTCAGCCGCTGGAGAAAGGGGTCGCAGGTGAGGAAGGGAGTGAAGGCCATGGGGTTGCATGTGGGAGGGGTAGAGGGTGGGTGCAGGAGTGAGGAGTGGGGCTACGACAAGCGCATGCAGCCCAAGATCCCGCTCAGCCGCTGGAGAAAGGGGTCGCAGGTGAGGAAGGGAGTGAAGGCCATGGGGTTGCATGTGGGAGGGGTAGAGGGTGGGTGCAGGAGTGAGGAGTGGGGCTACGACAAGCGCATGCAGCCCAAGATCCCGCTCAGCCGCTGGAGAAAGGGGTCGCAGGTGAGGAAGGGAGTGAAGGCCATGGGGTTGCATGTGGGAGGGGTAGAGGGTGGGTGCAGGAGTGAGGAGTGGGGCTACGACAAGCACATGCAGCCCAAGATCCCGCTCAGCCGCTGGAGAAAGGGGTCGCAGGTGAGGAAGGGAGTGAAGGCCATGGGGTTGCATGTGGGAGGGGTAGAGGGTGGGTGCAGGAGTGAGGAGTGGGGCTACGACAAGCACATGCAGCCCAAGATCCCGCTCAGCCGCTGGAGAAAGGGGTCGCAGGTGAGGAAGGGAGTGAAGGCCATGGGGTTGCATGTGGGAGGGGTAGAGGGTGGGTGCAGGAGTGAGGAGTGGGGCTACGACAAGCGCATGCAGCCCAAGATCCCGCTCAGCCGCTGGAGAAAGGGGTCGCAGGTGAGGAAGGGAGTGAAGGCCATGGGGTTGCATGTGGGAGGGGTAGAGGGTGGGTGCAGGAGTGAGGAGTGGGGCTACGACAAGCACATGCAGCCCAAGATCCCGCTCAGCCGCTGGAGAAAGGGGTCGCAGGTGAGGAAGGGAGTGAAGGCCATGGGGTTGCATGTGGGAGGGGTAGAGGGTGGGTGCAGGAGTGAGGAGTGGGGCTACGACAAGCGCATGCAGCCCAAGATCCCGCTCAGCCGCTGGAGAAAGGGGTCGCAGGTGAGGAAGGGAGTGAAGGCCATGGGGTTGCATGTGGGAGGGGTAGAGGGTGGGTGCAGGAGTGAGGAGTGGGGCTACGACAAGCGCATGCAGCCCAAGATCCCGCTCAGCCGCTGGAGAAAGGGGTCGCAGGTGAGGAAGGGAGTGAAGGCCATGGGGTTGCATGTGGGAGGGGTAGAGGGTGGGTGCAGGAGTGAGGAGTGGGGCTACGACAAGCGCATGCAGCCCAAGATCCCGCTCAGCCGCTGGAGAAAGGGGTCGCAGGTGAGGAAGGGAGTGAAGGCCATGGGGTTGCATGTGGGAGGGGTAGAGGGTGGGTGCAGGAGTGAGGAGTGGGGCTACGACAAGCACATGCAGCCCAAGATCCCGCTCAGCCGCTGGAGAAAGGGGTCGCAGGTGAGGAAGGGAGTGAAGGCCATGGGGTTGCATGTGGGAGGGGTAGAGGGTGGGTGCAGGAGTGAGGAGTGGGGCTACGACAAGCGCATGCAGCCCAAGATCCCGCTCAGCCGCTGGAGAAAGGGGTCGCAGGTGAGGAAGGGAGTGAAGGCCATGGGGTTGCATGTGGGAGGGGTAGAGGGTGGGTGCAGGAGTGAGGAGTGGGGCTACGACAAGCGCATGCAGCCCAAGATCCCGCTCAGCCGCTGGAGAAAGGGGTCGCAGGTGAGGAAGGGAGTGAAGGCCATGGGGTTGCATGTGGGAGGGGTAGAGGGTGGGTGCAGGAGTGAGGAGTGGGGCTACGACAAGCGCATGCAGCCCAAGATCCCGCTCAGCCGCTGGAGAAAGGGGTCGCAGGTGAGGAAGGGAGTGAAGGCCATGGGGTTGCATGTGGGAGGGGTAGAGGGTGGGTGCAGGAGTGAGGAGTGGGGCTACGACAAGCGCATGCAGCCCAAGATCCCGCTCAGCCGTGGAGAAAGGGGTCGCAGGTGAGGAAGGGAGTGAAGGCCATGGGGTTGCATGTGGGAGGGGTAGAGGGTGGGTGCAGGAGTGAGGAGTGGGGCTACGACAAGCGCATGCAGCCCAAGATCCCGCTCAGCCGCTGGAGAAAGGGGTCGCAGGTGAGGAAGGGAGTGAAGGCCATGGGGTTGCATGTGGGAGGGGTAGAGGGTGGGTGCAGGAGTGAGGAGTGGGGCTACGACAAGCGCATGCAGCCCAAGATCCGCTCAGCCGCTGGAGAAAGGGGTCGCAGGTGAGGAAGGGAGTGAAGGCCATGGGGTTGCATGTGGGAGGGGTAGAGGGTGGGTGCAGGAGTGAGGAGTGGGGCTACGACAAGCGCATGCAGCCCAAGATCCCGCTCAGCCGCTGGAGAAAGGGGTCGCAGGTGAGGAAGGGAGTGAAGGCCATGGGGTTGCATGTGGGAGGGGTAGAGGGTGGGTGCAGGAGTGAGGAGTGGGGCTACGACAAGCGCATGCAGCCCAAGATCCCGCTCAGCCGCTGGAGAAAGGGGTCGCAGGTGAGGAAGGGAGTGAAGGCCATGGGGTTGCATGTGGGAGGGGTAGAGGGTGGGTGCAGGAGTGAGGAGTGGGGCTACGACAAGCGCATGCAGCCCAAGATCCCGCTCAGCCGCTGGAGAAAGGGGTCGCAGGTGAGGAAGGGAGTGAAGGCCATGGGGTTGCATGTGGGAGGGGTAGAGGGTGGGTGCAGGAGTGAGGAGTGGGGCTACGACAAGCGCATGCAGCCCAAGATCCCGCTCAGCCGCTGGAGAAAGGGGTCGCAGGTGAGGAAGGGAGTGAAGGCCATGGGGTTGCATGTGGGAGGGGTAGAGGGTGGGTGCAGGAGTGAGGAGTGGGGCTACGACAAGCGCATGCTGCCCAAGATCCCGCTCAGCCGCTGGAGAAAGGGGTCGCAGGTGAGGAAGGGAGTGAAGGCCATGGGGTTGCATGTGGGAGGGGTAGAGGGTGGGTGCAGGAGTGAGGAGTGGGGCTACGACAAGCGCATGCAGCCCAAGATCCCGCTCAGCCGCTGGAGAAAGGGGTCGCAGGTGAGGAAGGGAGTGAAGGCCATGGGGTTGCATGTGGGAGGGGTAGAGGGTGGGTGCAGGAGTGAGGAGTGGGGCTACGACAAGCGCATGCTGCCCAAGATACCGCTCAGCCGGTGGAGAAAGGGGTCGCAGGTGAGGAAGGGAGTGAAGGCCATGGGGTTGCATGTGGGAGGGGTAGAGGGTGGGTGCAGGAGTGAGGAGTGGGGCTACGACAAGCGCATGCTGCCCAAGATCCCGCTCAGCCGGTGGAGAAAGGGGTCGCAGGTGAGGAAGGGAGTGAAGGCCATGGGGTTGCATGTGGGAGGGGTAGAGGGTGGGTGCAGGAGTGAGGAGTGGGGCTACGACAAGCGCATGCTGCCCAAGATACCGCTCAGCCGGTGGAGAAAGGGGTCGCAGGTGAGGAAGGGAGTGAAGGCCATGGGGTTGCATGTGGGAGGGGTAGAGGGTGGGTGCAGGAGTGAGGAGTGGGGCTACGACAAGCGCATGCAGCCCAAGATCCCGCTCAGCCGCTGGAGAAAGGGGTCGCAGGTGAGGAAGGGAGTGAAGGCCATGGGGTTGCATGTGGGAGGGGTAGAGGGTGGGTGCAGGAGTGAGGAGTGGGGCTACGACAAGCGCATGCAGCCCAAGATCCCGCTCAGCCGCTGGA